AGTCGCGTGTTTGCATCGATACGAACGCAAATGTAGCTGATAAAAATCTCCGTGTAAGCACTCTAACCGTTATGTTGTGTTATGGAGAAGCGTGTCGCTTTCCACCAGGCTCACGACTTATTCGTCCCGTCACTTGACACCATAAAAATATATATATATTAAATATATATATTAAAAAATAAGTTTTTCATCACAGTATTCTCCTGCTATATTGAAATAATCTTTGTCAAATGCAGTACTTACTTGATATTTTTATACCAGCATCAAGGATTTTTTTTACGCACACAGTTTTTCTGAACGGCTTATTGCAATTTCGTATCGACTTTCGTGATGACTCCCTTAGTCTGGAAAAAATCAACCTTAAATGTAAAAAAAAACTTCTAAAAGATTCTATTTCTGAAAAAATAAACAAACTGAAATATGGAAAATGGATTGACTTTTACAGTTTTTGTACGAATTAATTTAGTCTAAGTTTATACGAGTTTCTTAATTATTTGTTACCTTTGTAAACTGATGGTTCTATACCCAATGCTCAACAAATATTTTATTTTTTATTTCTCATATAAAGTGTGACTCGACCTATCTCTACACCGAAATTCTACTCATCTCATTTCAATCATTATTAAAAGCTAAGTAAATTAACTTTAAAAAGTATATTTTTGCCAATAAAACTATTTTGTAAATGTGATTCTGTGTTTTATTAAACAATAAGGCTAGGTTCAGATCTACGCACACCTGTCGCGCGTCTACGCGCGTAGGCGTACCTACTTGCAGTAAACGATGACGCGCGGTCTTCTGAACAGGTACACTGTCAGTGCTTAAAATTCTAAACGCGCGGCGATGCGTGTTTGCAGCTGTGATGGGCGTATTAAAGTATTTCGTACTTATCAACGAGTGTATATAAAATGAATTAATTTCTAGACATTAAATGTTTGTCTGCCTGTTCGTTAAATGTGTGAAGAGCTAGTGGAGACCTAGAGGATGGAAGAAAAATAAAGGAAGTGGAAACCGGAGACGGCCATATCATTCCTTTTATAAACTGGCTATTCTTGGCAATCGTCTTCACAATGTCACAAATTAAGAAGCAACGTACACTATGTAAGCATCTAAAATATTATTTTCGTTAACCGACTTTATAAAAAAGGAGGCAGTTCTAAATTCGACTGTATTTTATTGTACGTATGTTACGCGACAATTTGTGAATCGATTTTCACGATTCTTTTTTTATTGGAAAGAGGATAGTATTGTAGTGTAGAGGGTTCCTATTGGTCCCATTTTCCGCCTCAAGTAAGGGGCTGCAGATTGAACTCTGAAGTAATAACATTTATAATAGCTGTAATAAAAATAATTTATTGTTTGTATTTTAACCGACTTCAGAAAAGGAGGAGGTTTTCAATTCGACTGTATTTTTTTGTGTAAGTATGTTGCATACAATTACTCCGGCCTTTGGTTTTTGATTATTATTTTTTTTTTTTTTGGAAAGAGCGTAGGGTATCATAGAACCCATTTAAATTTGAAGAAAATATTCCACCTCTAAGGGTGGCAAACTAGGGGATGAATCCGGTTTCGCGCACTTTTCCACCAACTTTTGTAACCAATTTCAATTAAACTTGGCAAACAGATGTAATTCCATGAACTTTTGAGGTCGATTTTTTATACTTATGTGTATATTAAAATCTTCTGATTTACGAAGCCGCTAAAAAAAGGTTATTTATTATTCGACTTCTGCGCATTTCATTGATCCAGTTAGCTCTCTCAGGTTGCGCCTACCTATGATATTCTTGTACGAGTATAAATGAAACCCTTGTTATGATTTATGTATAAAGCCATACACATGTGATGTAGTAGCCTGTAGCCATGTAGCCTTATTAGACCAAAGATGCGAATTCGTTACAGTAACCATTTTAAGTTACGTACGTGTTGCAAGGGACGATATTAGTAGAGGCGAAGCTGCAGAGTCCCAGAGTCGATTCCCGGGCCGGGAGAAATATTTGTATGGCCTATATATTATTATTTAGAGTTTGGGTGTAATTTATGGTTGTCTATGTGTATGTCCATGGCAACCGTGACACAGGGTTTCCCTAGTGCGGGTCTGTGTTGAGTGTTTGCGTTATTATTCTACAGAATATATCACGGAGATTGTGCGATGCAATTACATAATTTGATTGAGCCTTCCCCTTTCCATCATCGGGGGACTTGAGTTGGGGATTGGAGATTCACCCCTATATAGGGTTCACATCTAGGTCCTAGGATTCACACGAAGCGTTTCGCTGCCACATGAGTGGAATTGCTTACCTGCGGACTTGTTCCCCGAGCGTTATAACTTGGACCTTTTCAAGGCGAGAGTGAATAGGCATTATTTAGGCGTGCATGCTACATCGTCGACCTCACTTCCATAAGGTGAGATGGAGGTCAAATGCACACTTATTTTTTATAAAAAAAAAATGTTTATCGAGTTCTTAGGTTTTTGCGATTGTTACACATAGGAAATGAAACTATTTTTCCGGACTGAAATGGTTTGTTTGAAAAAAACAAATATACGCGATTTAAATCCGGAAAAATACTTTATTTTCCTAAAAATATGTTTATTTATTTTGTCAATGTAAACTAAATACCCACAGAATAGTTATTGCGTAATCAAATTATACATAATATAATATAAATAATACATAATTTTGCATTTCCGATTGCGTCGCAAAATAGCACTTGGATCAAATTTGCGTTTAAAAAGTGAGTGCTCATGTTAACTGCGCAATTTTATGAGAAAACAAATATTTTTGTACAGCTACATAATACATATATGACGCGCAGGTACACTATTGTTCGGGTATATAATATTGTATTTTTATTTGTACAAATGTTCAGCAATCGACCACTTAGTTGTGAACCCTGATAATTTTTGGAAGTGCACTGATAGATGAAAATCACCCTGCGGTAATCTACACCTCTAATAAGTTTTTTGACTTCATCGTTTATGACCTTAGGTAGGGTTTACACGCCTTTTCCACTAGTCCCTACCAGCTGTTCGCCTGGTGGAGACAAGTGGATTTTTTTTCCACTCAACCCTACCACACCATCACTGGTTGAGTGGAATTTCATACACGTGTGAAGTCAGAAAGTAATTAAGTTTTTAAGTACATAAGATCTTTTTAACTTATTTTTAAATACCTAGCACGAGTCGGTATCATAATGACTATATTTTCAAAATAGTGAAGCAGGTAACTACTTTGACATTTTGCAAACAAATTATTAATGCACCAAAACCTGCAAACTTCTAGCTACGCCTACCGGGGAAAACAGACTTGATTTTAATCTACTTACCTACTTATCCATCGATGATTACTTAACAGCTGTTAAGTGATTGTTTCCACTCATAAATTTAAGATAAAATTTAGTTAATTACTTCGAAGCTTACGTGTTAACCGGCCTGAACACCAAGCATATTATGTGCATTTAAAGATGATTTGTTCAACAATAGAAAGTAGGTATGTGGATTGATTCAATAATCTAAAAAGTATCATAGTTCATATTACACTGGTTATTTAGTTCTACTAATAAAACCAATCGCTTAATTCTTCATTTAACGATTAGCTCAAAAAATAAGCAGACATGTTGAAAATTATTCTAATTGTTTCCTTTATAGGAATTAGTAACGCCAAACTAAGTACAGCTCCAGATTTCATTTCTTTGGAAAGTACTAATTACGATATACCAAATGAATATATAGAAAAAATTCGTTATGAAATGAAACGTAACCGTGATGTTTTAGATAAAATATGGGTCGTTAATTTTGAAACTCTAGGCATTTGTGATATTAAACTGAGAAGGGGAACTCGCAATGAGGTTGAGGATTTTAATGAAAAAATTCAACCGACTATCAATCGGTAAGTTATTTTAATTTAAATTTATAACTTCATTACATAAAAAAGGTGCATGTAAACCTATAGGTTTTCGCACATTGTGCCGTCGTCGTCATTTACATAAGCCTAAGAATGGAGGTAACATAATATTTCTGCTGTACACATTACGGCGTTTAGTAGGTACTTATTGTACGATAAGTTATACTGGGTAAAGAACTCGCAATCACAGGCACAGAAGACTGCGCCAACTTAATTTATTGACCCTGGTCTGTATTTATTTTGTTTTTTGTTTCTTTTTCTCACAAAATTCCTTATCTTGTTTTTTTCGAAATTTCTTTTTTATTCTTTTTTTGGGAAAATTCGGGGAGCGTAATATTAGTAAATAAATATGGCTGATGGATCTTGGCAAGTGGATCTTCACCTCCGACATCAAAGTACGCCATCAGTCTTATGCCAATTCGGACCATTCGGACACATTTAGTTCCTTTAGGTCTTTGGCGACTTCATCCTTCCAATGATATCTTGTACGGCCCACTGGACGATTACCCCAGGTAGGTTGACCGAAGTACGCTCTTTTGGCAACTCGATCCTCTCCCATTCTTTCCACATGTCCTAGCCAACGAAATCGAGCAGATTTTGTTTCTCCCCTTTCTGATATTGGCCTGAACTGTATTGTACCTTTTATTATTACGAGTTCTTAAATAAATTTATTATTATTATTATTATGAGCAATCAACACATAAATCTACTTATCAATTATCAAACTATCATTTTATAAGATTACGAATACGCCGTACATCTTTTTTGGTCCTTCGAGCCGGACACAAAAATGCTCTGGTGTAATAAGGCCGCATCTGCTAAATGACGATTTTGCAGAAGAGAGGTATAGGTTCTAGAAACGAAATTACTCATATCTTTTATGCTAAATAAGACAGATTAAATTTCACACATACATAATTTATTACATGTAGCTATGATTTTCATGTGACGAAAACACTTTTAACATACGATCATATGTGGTTTTATTATACCAAGGGTACGAAACATGTTTCATTGTCTATATAATTATAGTTTTTGTTTTAGTTACGTAAGGCGTCACGGGAAACCAAAAACCAAAAAACAAGCGCCTTACAAAATCCAACACAAAATCGAGGATGAGTTCAAGTTGAAGGTGGAAGTCTTGAGAATGGTTAATAAATTTCTGTAAGTTACAAATGAATACTTATTTTGATATATAATTTATTATTTTAAGACCTTTAAAAAGTAAAAGTTGTTGTTTTTGTTGATTTCGCGCGATTGGGCTATGCGTAGTGTGAAAACAAATTACCAAAAAGTATCAAATCAAGTATATTACTCCAAAAATGTTAAACAAGATTAACTATTTTTCGTAAAAAAGTTTTCACAAAACTATTATTCTTACGCAGTTATTATTTCGAATAATGTCATTAGTGATGTAAATTATTGCTTTTTCACGCTGCACCGTCTTAATGCGTTTTTCGTATCTGCACCAGACTGCGATGTTTCTGCAAGTTGATGGACTATTTGTGATGAATGTTTGAGGTTTTGTGCTACATCGTTCTAATTTGTGGTTTTGTGAGAGTATGGATGAGTGTCTATCTTCTGTGAATTACTAATATCGTCTAGTTATGAATTTCATAGTAGGCTTTCACGATTGATAAATAAGAATTAGAAATGCATTTTTCGGATCTAAATATCTGTATTATAAATAATAAAACGTGTATATTAGATAAACATTTTTATTTAGGGCGCACTATAAGTTTCCGGAACGGGCCACTTATATAAACAATATTTAAAAAGTAATTCGGAACTCTTTGGCTGTAGAATACAGTGTTTCATCTAACTGTCACTTGTTTTTACATTGTGGCGGCATTTTAGAAAATGGTTGTCTACATCACCATGGATTTAACACGTGCAAATTTTCGTAGTATGATTTTCTACGACTTTAAGTGTAACTTAACAGCTCAGCGGAGCTTAGCTCGGCTTCAAACTGCTTTTGGCGATGAAGCTCCATGCAAGACGAATATTTATAGCTGGTTTGCAGAATTCAAACGCGGTCGTGTGAATCTCAGTGACGAATTTCGTGACGGCCGCCCGTCCACTGCTGTGAACAACAAAAACATCGTAGTTTTGCGCCGTATGATCAAAACAGACAGGCATGTGAAATGCCATGAGATTCGGGCACCTTTAGGCATAGGCATGAGTCAAATACAATCTATACTACACAAACATTTGGGTGTGAAAAAGCTGTCCCGGTGGATCCCAAACAATATGACTGAGACTCGAATAACGGATCGCGTCACTTGGTGCAATGCCATGCTTACCAGATTCAACGAAGGTTGCGAACAAATTTCGTGTGGGACATAGTAATAGGTGACGAAACATGGATTTATATTTACGATCCCAAAACAAAGCAGCAATCGAGCGTATGGGTCTTTCGAAATGAGCCGAAATCAATCAAAGTAGCGCGCGTGCAAAGTGCCTCTAAGCGGATGATTGCTGCTTTTTTTAATAAAACTGGACACGTGGCTCCTGTTGCTTTGGAGAATCGTTGTACCGTGAATAGTGATCGGTACACGACCATTTGTTTGCCGGAAGTTATTGTAAAACTGCGTAAAAATAACCGTAGACACCGTATCATCTTGTACCACGATAATACCAGTTCTCACACGGCCAGACATACAACTAAATTTTTATAGGTGAACAACGTTGACCTTATGAGCCATCCCGCGTACAGTCCCGACCTGGCACCTTGTGACTTTTATTTATTTCCAAAAATTAATAACCGGTTACGCGGTCAACGATTTTCATCACCTGAAGAAGCTGTCGAAGAGTATGAAAAATATGTTCCAGAGATTTTTACGGAGGAGTGGCATAAATGTTTTCAAAATTGGTTCATTCGTATGAAAAATGCATTAACGCTAACGGAGAATATTTTGAGAAACAATCAATTAATTTCTGACCATTTATAGAATTTTTTCTTATTCATTCCGGAAACTTATAGTGCGCTACACGTGTTAGTTATACGCAAATTAAACCCGAAAAGATATTTTACCTAATTACCACGCAACTTAAATAAAATTGTGTATAAACTCCAGCTTATCCCAGGGGTTTCTTAGAATTCGCACCCCTCATGGAAGAATAAAAATAATTAACGCGCAACATACTATATGTAAGTACCTCGATTACCACTGACATTTAGGTAATAGTTGTCCCAGAAGGAACAGAGATCGTTTAAAATAATTTACAGGAATTGTGGCCGGAAGAGTTCAGTGAGTACGAGAAAATCCGGGTATCTTGTAATAGTGCTCCGCATCAGGTGGGACAGAGGCTGCTCGTCCAAGTACCTATCGGAGATGGGCACATGGCTCTCAAATAAAAGTTGTCAAGGATCGTGGTCAGGTTCTACCAGAACCGAAAGTGTTCTGATATGACGAATTTAAGATGGCCGCCATACGATATACTATTCTGAATCTTTGATCGAATATTCTGAATTTAGTTATATTTGGAAATATTACTCTTTCCGATTCACTGATTGAAATAGAACGCATACTTCCCGACATGGTGAAAAGAGGTATTTATACCGTTGTACGCGGATAGGTTCCAAAGCAAAGGGAAAAATACGAGATGACCTGAATGTGGAAAATATAAACGAGTGATGAACGGTCTGCAAAAACTATAATATATGGAGGGAATGTTTGTGCACTTTTATGAGGTACACCCCGAGCAATTTCCGCCGGAAATAAAAAATGTTCGAAATTCAAATAAATAAGATGGCAGCCATACAAATTTCAAGGTCTTCTATAACGGAAACTATTAGAGATAGGTAGGAGGTGCTCGAAGGAATGGCATAGAGGGTAACAGTGGTCAACTGCCTGTGTCAAAAAAATTCAAGAAAATAGTATAACCCACATCCTCTACAATTCTTGTAACTCTATCGACTAATATTGTAGATAGTGTTACAAGAATTGGAGTCAAAGTCAAAGTCAAAGTCAAAGATTATTTATTCCATAGGTAAAATAAATTTACACTTGAAAACGTCACATTTAAGCTACTGCTCGTTCACTACGCTGACCTCCCTGAGAAGAACGAGCAAGAAACTCTAGGGATTGCTCTTTTCAAATAAACTTAAATGCCATGGAATACACTTTGAATCAAATTTGTGTGGATTGAGAGGATGTGGGTTATATTTTTGTGTATGTAATGGAGCAAAAACATGTTTGACGTAACTCCACTTATGCTATTTTTCCACGAGGGGTGCGAATTATGATCATTTTAATTAGTTAGTACCTTATCGTATATTTACAAATATGTCCTTTTATTACAGTTTGGCTAAACCTATCGATCCAAATCCCAAAATATCGAAGTTTGATGTTTTCCATAAAATTCCAACCGTGACAGTAAGTACAAGCATACTTAGACAGTTAAGCATAGTACTTTAAATAATGGTAATTTATCTGCGATTTTTTTATTTATATTACTATAACATATCGTCGCTTAGCAGACAATATCGCTCAAGTGGAAAATTGGCGATTTTTACTTTTGAACTTTACTCCAAATAAAACGTGAATATCGATACGAATTTTACAACCACCTCATGTACAATTATGTGTTAACCAAAAATAGAGCATTTATTACCAGTAATAGATAAGAAAATCTTGCATGTAGTGCAGTTTTTTATTCTCCTTTAAAATTACTCCGAATTACTTGAGTGGTGTTGTTTGCTAAGCGACGATATGCTATTATAAATTATAAAAAGTAATGCGTTCATAAGAAAAAATTATGAACGCATTGCTTACCTTTTTATAAGCCGTAGTAGCCTAATGGTTTGACCTTACTGCCTCTCAAGCAGAAGGTCGTAGGTTCGAATCCGGACTCGCACCTCTGAGTTTCGCGGAATTTATGTGCGAAATTTAATTTGAAATTTATCATGAGCTTTTCGGTGAAGGAAAACATCGTGATGAAACCTGCACGTTGAAGAAGGTTCACAATCCTCGGAAAACGTGTGAAGTCCCCAACCCACATTGGGCCGGCGTGGCGGACTATGGCCTAAACCCTCTTCTGAAAGAGATCCGTGCCCAGCAGTGGAATATATAAATGGGTTGATGATGAAGAAGTCAGTTATAATATAGTAGGTATGTGGTAATTAGTTACATGTGAGGTATTATAACTGCAACAAATAAAAAAAAGGAATTTAACATTATTATTTAACTGTATTATTAGGTAGACCGATTGAAGTTGTGGGGATCCAGAGGATGCGAGCAGCGCAAGACCGGTTATTGTAGCAATCTTTTTTCCCGAAGGCCTACCTAGGTCATAAATATACCCTTAAGGTTCGACGTAATAGGAAATTAGATACTTAATCTTATTTGCCGGCCTTCATGTGGTTATATTTCTTTGTTGTAGCTCTATTTCAAAGGACCATACACGAGCCTAGCGTTAAAACACGGCCTACACCAATGGCACTACTTCATTCCACCTCCATCGCCGTTCCCGGCCTGGTTTTACCAAGAACATACAAATATTATCAAGGAAGGACCTACAGTCTATGTTAAAGTACCGAAAACCGTTGAAATGCAGTTTTATAATGCACTTTTACATTTGTTACCTACTTTGTTCAGCATCCATGTTTAATTTAGACGGCATGATGCGGAATTTTTAAGAACTAATTTGTACTAGTAACAATTCAGGGACTTGAATCCATTGTCATGATATAATTTTTTTTTAGTTGTCTATGGTCCGCCGTGCAATGTACGACTGTGAATGTAGGTGCATTGTGTAACTATAAATCTTAGAGAATGGCAATCATAAATACATTCACAGCCAAGGAATGAGCCGTAATATTTCCAGTGTTACATTAAATGGATGTTTTATTTACTTTACATTATTATTCTTAAAATTATATATTAGTATAGTAGCAGTAGAGTTCCTTGCAAAAATTCGTCAAAGGAAGTATTGCCACCATATTCTATTTCTGCCAGGCAGTAATAATATGAAAGAACGGAGATAAGACGAAAGTTAAGGACGCTTTGAAATTAGAAACTTGCAGTCGCGCGTTTGTGGCGCTTCTAAATAATGTATGAAAATTGGTAGTGGCGCGGCTGCAGCGCCTCAGACGCACCGCTGCAGCGCCTCTGTAAGACTTTAGGGAGTGCAGGGAATGTGGCTTACCTACTTAATACATCGTTTGAAAAAATCTATTGGGTTATTAAAATATTATTCTTAAATAAAACGATAATAAAACTTAACTTTTTTTTATTGTATAATCACATGAGAATACATAATGTGTTTCTGTGGCATTAGCTGCAAAAAGGTACCAAATAAAAGTTGTCTTTTTTTAAATTTTTCTGTCAATTTTGCCTTTACACATTTTGCCGAAGTAACCATATTGCGACTATTATTAATACACTTTTCGTCAAAAAATGCCACACTAAGTATCGCTTTTAAACAATAAACTTAATGATTATGAATAAACCATATTTTAAGTTTATACCTACCTGTTACAAGTGAAATATTAAATTTTATTTAACGTTAAGCTATAGATATGTTATTTTTTTAGAAGTTTATCAGCAGCGAATTTTTTTAATTTATATTTCACCGTATATTTTTAAATTGTATGAAAGATACTGAAAATAATTATGTTCTATTCTAGTAAGTATTGAATATAATTCTAAAAACAAAAAAAAATACGAACCTCTAGCAATAAATGAAGTAAAGTAAACCTTTAAAGTTATATTTAGACATAAAAATTACTAAACTTCTAAACATCACACTGTCAATTGTTCTATTCCAAATTTGATTAATATAAATGACAGATTGTGGGTTGAGGAACCTGTAGGCTGCCATCAGAGGATAATTTTTGAAACGCTTTATTGAGCTGCTTCCCTCTTCTCATTTGTATATTCTGCTTTAATTTCATAAGTATTATTTGTCTATGTTACATTGTGTTTATTTCGATAGCAATCTCATAATTTAAAAAAAGACTGTCACCTCCTGGCCGCCTGGTATTGTTCAATATTTTTTCGCATACAATATTGGTATAAATTATTCTAAATGCAAGATCTATAAAAATAACCTTTACCATCATTGACTTACAATTATATGGACGTCGGGTCCGCGCTAAAAAGTGTCCGAACTTATAGGGCGTTAAAATCGTATACAGAGCGAAGCAAGCAAAATTAGACAGTACTGCGATGACATTACAATTTAAATTTAACGTTTTAGCTTTTTCATATTCCTTTACATGTCACTACGTTTAAATAGATTGACTTGGGACATTTTTTACGTGGTTTTTGTATTAGACCCGTCGTCCATTTATTTGTAAGTCAATGTTTACCACACACAATTTTATGAAAAAAAATTTCGAGTTCAAGATTTTTTCAAACAAAATAAATATATTTATTGAATGGTCGTTCATTTATGTTTTTATTTTTTTAAATGAGTTTAAAGAAATTAAAGGGTGACATTAAAGCAGCATTTCATTTTCCGATCATTTATTTAAACATCTATGTCACTATTGGTGCCTAAGATGTAAGGAAGAGCTTCCCATAAGAAGCATCTAAGGCTATTTAGTGCAAGTCAATGTGGAAATGGTCCCTTTACACAAGAACGGATTTTTCTTTTGTTTGTTACTTCTTATAGAGATTCTTCATAATTTATTTACTAAAATATCATCCTGTATTTAAAGAAAAAACTGCCCAAGTTAATATGGTAACCAATAACAAATCAGTCGTTCAAAATTGTAATAAGTTATATTAATCGTAATTTGGCATAAATATCTAATCACATTTTCATGACTGATTAATTTGATAAGCCTTCTTTTGGACTAGGCTTATTTAAGTTACAGTAGGATATATATTATATACCTATATCTACTATCAGTTCGCAGTTAAAGATACCTTATTGTCGCTGAGTTACATATTTATGAACTATGTTGTTGATACACATATATTTGAATATCGACGGAAGGTACCTTTACGTGTAGATTAACACATATTGACTCCGTGCAATCGTACAGTCAAGAGCAAAAATATTTATTTACAAAATGAACATTCATATTATTATAGTGAATGTCACACATGAAACCAAACACTGGTTGTAACTAAAAAATGATGGAATACAGAAAACACGATTTGAACTACTTGTTTTATTATTGTATTCTGGTTTATAAGTGGATCTTTCTCGTTTATAGAGAATTATTATGTATAAATAAAAGTAATCTCATTATCTGCAAAAAGATTCATTCATAATTTTTTTTTTACTTCCATCGTTTTTGAGTTATGAGAGCATTTGGTTATATTTTTTTTTTGATAATTTTTTTTATAAATACTTATATTGGGAGAAGTTTTACTTTGAAAAGATTTTGGAAACATAGTTTTGCTCTTGACGACTATAGTAGACAATACATTTTTTCCCTTTTGGCAAAAAAGGAGGACGTATCCCACACTGTGGTCAGTCTGTCCTCTGAAGACAGGCCGACCCGTAATTACCATAACGTGGTCGTTTCATACCAACGTTTGTTATATCATATTAATTAATACACTGAGTCCCGCAGTCGATTGTTCGTCGTCTGCTGAAGTGCTCCGCTGCATATCGCGTCAAATGAAAGCACTTCAAGTGCTCACAATTCGTGGTTGCTTAGTGCTTCAACGTTGTTTTTACCGAATTGCCAATACATACGCAATTGCAATCCGCGGTCGAAACCTGACGGCTTTATAGCGCATAGGGCCAATAATGGATCTTGCGCACTCCTTACGCGCGCTACAAATACCTACAGCGGCAGACGGTATTGCCTATACTGTTGGGAAATTATGCGCTCATTCGTCGGATGTATGAGAAATTATTGTCAGTGCCAAACCTAACAAAGAAACCCTAACCCTAGAAGAAAACCTAAGAGTACTTTGCATAATATTACTGTGTGATTGTGTTGACTCTATTGATTTAATTTTTCTTTTTTTTAATGAAATTTCACTATGTTGGGACATTTTTAACCGACTTCAAAAAGGAGGAGGTTCTCAATTTGACTGTTTTCTAATGTTTTACGCGATAATCGATTTTGACGATTCTTTTTTTGTTGGAAAAAGTTTAAATTGGAAGAAAATATTCAAGGGTGGCAAACTAGGGGATGAATGACTTTGGAAGTCGGTTGTTTTAGTACTCTGTACTGAGATTATTGTAATCATTTTTCAGCGTTCTATGATTTGGTCTTCAAGTGCTAATACAGTTAGGTATTCTGTGCCAGATCGCGCTACAGCCGAAACGTTACCATACATACCGTACAAGTCTCCAAAGTCCAAGTAGTGTTGTACAATTATTTACAAATTCACTATCGATAGACTTTTAGTAAATTTATATAGGAACAAAATCAACATACTACAATAGTATCCTAACACTTATCACTAACAGTGTCCGTACTCGAACGCACTTATCGATATCGATCGCATTGTTGTTCTATTAGTGTTTATACTATTACTACTACTAATAGTGCTGTTACTATCGACAACGCTTATTAGCATTAGGATACTTCCTATGAAAATTGGCGGTACTATTGTTTGCAACATAATGAAATATCACGAATAATATCGCTCATCATTCATAGTATTACTCGATGCAGTACTGACACTTTATATAGCACCACTGGTATTGTAATTAGATTTCGACTTCATTATTAATAGACTATCGATAGTTTCTATTAATTAACGTACAACACTAGGACCAAGTGCAAGGCGATCAGAAATCACTACAGGGTGATAAACACGCGTCGTTTGTATAGCGCGATGCCGACGGCGAGCCACATGAGCATGGCGGCGGCGTTTGCGGCGAGCAGCTGCGCGTGTGTCGGTGCCGAGAAGCAGTAGTGGAGGGGAAAGTGTTTTTTCAGGAGCTCACTGCCTATGTAGAGGAATAGGGCGTTTTGGCCTGGAATAAAAAGAATATATTTATAATTGAATTCTTAGACTTTCCCGATTCCTATACATTGGAAATTAATATATATTTTTGAATCTAAATCTTCCTAAATGAGATCCAGTAAAAGGTTCGAAACGTAACCAACGTTTCGAACAGATTCGATTCATCGATTCTAGGGTGTAAATGTCTATGGGTAAATATTCCGTTTTACGCATCAACTAGTTGTAATTTTTTTAAATCTTTTTCAGTTGCTATTGCTACTTTATATGCTGCAATTATAATTACTTAAATTTACAATTGAAACAAATATTGTTTGTTTTTGATATATTATAACAAATTTACTATTTCTTTGGTAATTTAATTGTGAGTGTAATTAAAAATAGTACAAATGCAACATAAAAAATGAACTGTAGTTGACTTTTTTGCTTAGTGACGTATTGGCTTTAACCATCGGGTATATAACCAGAAATAGAGACGAAGTGTCATTACATCACTTCACTTTTTATTTATATGGCTCCATCATTATGAGAAATGATGATTTTGCCAATGTCACGGTTGAAAGAAACAAAACAAAACAAAAAAAAACTACGCTGAGCTCTAATAGGACATTAACCGGTATTGATGAGTTGGTCCACGGGGAGTACTCAGTTGAGAATCGTAGGGTCGTATTCTAGAACTCTACTCAATGCTGTCAGGACTTGAGTATGATTCAAAGCACTAGAAATCATCAGTGCTTGAAATCATACTCTAGTCTGCTCAAATCCTGACTTGAGCATTGAGTAGAGTTCTAGAATACGACCCTAAAACAAAAGACAGCACAAACATGTATATATAAATATATGTTATTTAAGTGGATAAATTTACACAGAGTAACAATATGGGGGAGAACACTAAAGTTAAGAGGTTATTTATGTTAATGGGGCGGGGGAATTTTGGAGAAAGTAAGTTACAAAGTGGAACAGCAATATTAGGACAATTGAAAAAAATGTGTTCCAAGGTACCGTCTTCTAGGCCGCACTCGCACTTAGAGTGGTCTCGGACTCTGATTTTACTCAAAAATACAGGGGTGCAAACATGGCCTAAGCGCAAACGTATAATGGTGGAAGTGATGTTTTTAGGCAAATCACGTTTAAAAAACCAGGGTTTAGTGGGTAGATTTGGTTGGAGGTTACCATAGTGTCTACCAACAGTTTGTCGTGATTCCTGCCATAGGTCCGACCAGGAGGCTAGCATTTGGGGTTTGGTCATGGCGAGCAGATCTCTGGGAAAGCACTTATGATATTTGCATACGCCAATTCTTGTCGCATCCTTTGCAAAAGCGTCTACTGCTTCGTTGCCACTGATCCCACTGTGACCGGGAATCCAGGCCAGAGTTACCTCAATTCCCGCACAGTGAAATCGGTACAGAGCTTCATTAATTTGGAGGGTGATAGAGAAATTGTCTTTGGAATGAAACGGTAGCTTAATAATGTCTTGAAGGCAGCTTAGTGAGTCTGAGAAAACCAAACATTTATTAATTTTATGGGACTCAATATATAAAATGGCTTCAAGTATTGCGATAGCCTCTCCAGAAAAGACCGAATTCAGATAGGGGGATTTAAAACTGAGTACGACATTGAACTTGGGGAACCAAACCGCAGCTCTCAAGTCGCCATGTTCGTGTAAATTTGAAGCGTCGGTAAAAACAGTAGTCCAGTCATGCCATTCTCTCTCAACTATATCGTTGAAGGCTTGGTTTGCTCCAGGGGTATCTTTCATGATGCCAAAACTAAGATAGACTGTTGGGCGGAACGTTAAACATTTAAAATCAGTTTCAAACAACGGGTTCATATAATTTTGGGAAATAGGGAAGGGGAGATTGGAAATTTTGTTAACACTGTTGATAAGAAGGAGGGGAGGTTTCTCGTATGACCAATAATTGGAGGAAGGGATAATCTCCGACAAGGATTGCAATACGGGAATCAAAGGGTGAGAAGAAAATTGAAAGATCTTGAAAAGGAATCTATTAGCAAGGAATTGTCTACGTAGATGTAGAGGTGGCTCCAGACATTTGACTTGAAGAGCGTTTGTTGGTGAGGATTTCATGGCTGTGATTATTAGACATCTTAGCCAAGGCTATCTTGTTGCATGGTTCCAGAAGGAAGCTGCCATAATCAAAATGACTTCTGATGATTGCTTTGTACAGGAGCTTTTGGTTATACGGATGTGATCCCCAACGAACACCAGAAAGTGCACGTAGGACATTGATGCTTTTTTCAGCTTTTTGACAAATATAGTTGAGGTGATGGATGCCAGATAATTTTGAGTCCAAAATAATGCCTAAAAATGTTACTTTTTCCCTCAGTTCTATGTTTTCCCCATTAACATGTATTTCAGTTTCAGGAAGGCGTCTCTTGCGGGGAAAAACGACAACTGTGCTTTTGGTAGCTGAATGCGAGAGGCCGTGATCGGTAAGCCAAGAGTCTAGGTAAAAAAGGGCAGAGTTGAGGCGTCTTTCAGTATCTGAAAAAGATTTGGAACAAGCGTACAGGGCGATATCGTCTGCATATTGCAAGATTTTGCACTATGCAGAAGCAATGGACTGAAGTGTCGAGGTCAGACGTGTACAAGCTGTAAAGGAGAGGGTTAAGAACGGAACCTTGAGGCAAGCCATTCCAGACCATATGGGAGGGGGTTGTGGACCTGGTAATAAACGAATAGGGAATGCCGTCCGCACCCGGCGCCGAATCCCTTAAATGGTCCAAAGCACAGCTTAGTTGTCAGAAGTTGACAAGGAGGGGTTTATGGCGGCAGCTGCTTCTGAAGGAACAAAAGGGGAGGATAATTTTGTAATAAAATCTACAAGTCAGGGTGTCGGGTCGTTAGACGAGATGTTGTTATGATCAGTCTGAGATCTGCGAAAGGATTTTATTCTCTTCCAGACTATAGACGGGTGGGTGCGGGGTTCCAGAGATTCGCAGAATGCACGCCATCCCTGAAATTTCTTTTTGCTCAGAAATCTTCTCGTGTGAGCGGAAATCTTTTGGAAAGTTAAATAATTCTCAAAGGATAAGTCACATGCGAATTCAAGTTCTGCCCGATTTCGTTCCTTGACTGACGAAGAACATTCGGAATCCCACCACGGGGGAGAGGAAATTTTGCTATTTGCAGAGTTTTTCAAAGGGATAGTTTCATCTGCGGCTGACAGCAAACACGAGATGAACTCTGAATATATAGACAAAACGGTTGAGGGGGTTACTTGAACTGGTTGCATGTTTACAATTTTGCTGTTCAGGATCAAGGAGTAAATGTCCCAGTCTGCCAGCCTAAGCCTGTATTTAAGTAAGGGAGGGGGGTCTGGTGTGAGGCTAGGTTAGGTTAGTCTCCTACTGAAATTAATATAGTTAGGTGATCGCTTCCAAAGGAATTTATCAGAACAAGCCAGGAGGTAGAAGGGGCTAAACTAGGAGAGACTAAGGTTAAGTCAGGGGCGCTGGCATTTTGAAGGGCGGAAGTTCTGCGTGTAGCGCCATCATTAACTATACATAAATTTGTGCTGTCCAGAAGATCGAGAAAAGCAGAGGATAAAGAGTCGCAAATGTGAGATCCCCACAGCGAGTGGCGTATATTGAAATCTCCTAAAACAATTAGGGGGGAAGGGAGGGATGAGAGGATCACGGATAGTTCTGTGATGAGGTCAAGGCTAGGATGGGGAATGTAGACAGGAACGAATGATTTGTTTTGCGCTCTAATAGCGACAACATGAAGGCCTGTGGAGTGTGTGGAGATGGAGAGTTGTGTATATATGATGTTCAGCCCACCCATCACTCCTGTCATCCTGAAGGCACGCATAGCCAGGAACACTGAAGATTAGCTTTTGACTGAGTGTTTGAATCTGTAGCTTTATGGGAGGCAGAACAGAGAAGGCAAGACACAGCATCATCTGGAACGGTGCAGGAGGAGCCATTACAGAGGAGTCACTTTCTGTGCGAGAAACATGGACCAGAAAGGGTCCAGCATCGTTGTTTGAATATTTCAAGTCAGAGTTACTTTCGTATCCCTCCAAGGTATATGTATGTTGTACTGACGCAGACGGCGGGAGTCTTGTCTTTTTAGCGGAGCTATCAATGTCCGCACAAGCAGGGCGCTTGCTCTTTTGACCACTGATGTTGATCTCCATTGAGCTAACGGGCGGGGATACAGACAGAGAACGAGGCCCCCTATCAGGGGGCTCCGCCTCGTCACTGGGATCACAGAACATAAGGGAACTTACCTCTATGTTATTTTTTTACCGCCACCAACACAAAATACGACACAATTTTACACTCTCAGTGAGAAATGAAAGTCGAAAAGCGAAATTCAGTCCGCACACGTGTGTTAACCTTCACATCTTTCAACCGTGACCTCGAATGTCATTTAATTTGTTTGAAAACTATTCTGCCATATCATTACTGTGACAACTGCGCTCCGATTGGCCAGCCCGAATTCGAAACAATTGACGACACCCGTCAATTGTTTCGAATTTCTCTTTCGAATCACTTCAATCAAACAGTTTAACTTGAGCTTTGCTATAATGGACGAAAATTGCAAAATTACATATTTAATATTTAATTACCGATGAAATTTGATTCCGTTTGTTTTGTAATTATATGTTTTGCAGTTTTTCTCCACACCAGCGAACGGAACAGCACGCCATTGTTAGAGATATTATATTTATTACAATAAATACAGAATATTCTTGGAATATACCGGAGACGTACACACAGGTCAGTTGTTGCCGGCTGCCTATATTTCAGTCCAAACGAGAGTTGATATTTATAAGTGATGTCACCGATGAGTTACCAGGAGTGTTTGACCCTTATTTCGTCTCTATTTCTGGTTATATACTCGATGGTTTTAACGTACGAAATGGTACATTTTTATACGTAACGTATACGTAGGAGTATCCTTCTAATATTAAACGACGGCGCACTTGCCCATCTCTGGGCGCACGACTTGTTTATCCCGTCACTTGATATTATAAAAAAAAAAACATACCAGCATAGTATAAAGGTCGTCCACCCCATTTATTCTTGAGATCAACGACGAAGTACAACACGGCTTGTATGAAGAGCGCCATAGAGGACGTCACGAGGCAAAAAGAGAGGGACCAGAGGTTCTTGTTGATCGGGATCGGACCGCCGTTCTTAGAAAACATGCAGAGGGCGCCACCGGTAACGCCCAATATTATAGACCAGAAAACCCATCGCATGATGCGGGCTCTGAAAAAAAAACAACACCATTATTATTGTAGTCACGATACACTGTACGTCCAACTGATGGGCACAGGTTTCCTCTAATTGTTAGGATAAAAAAACAGATGCTAACTCGAATTTTGTCGATTTTGCGATGCCAAGTTATTCAGGTAATTTATATCAAATTCAAAATAAAGAAACCTTAAATATAAATAAATATTAGACAACATTACATACGTTCTGCCGCCGTTAGTTGAAACGGCGCAAGTGACAACACTCAAAACCGCGAAAATAATATTGAAAGAAATGAAATTTAAAAAATACCCGCTTTTCTATTGCGGTAACTTCATAGCTTATCCACCTAGGATAGAATAAAAAATAGTAATAGATCGGCTTTTTTTTACTCATCACGGTATTGCGTCACATACGCCCTTTCAACTAACGGCGTTAGCGTTGCTCTGATCCCACAGGAGTAGAATACGTTTATTTGAAAGAATACAGTAAATATACAGATCTTAAATTAATTTAGGTACAATGTATTCAACCTGCAAGCAGGTGTGCAAATGTAATGGAATTTATTGTTTCTTGTGTACAGTTAATTGCATTTTAATATAATGTTAATGAGTATTTGTAAATTAGAAATATTCTTTATTACTATAGAAGCAATGTGTATAAAGCCAACTTGTCAATTGTAGTTTAAAAGTACGTCCCAATAGTAATTTAATGTTATTTGGTAAATTATTAAAAATCTTATACACATAAATTATTTTGTGGCAGCGAGTTTGGTACTGGTTCATAATTTTAGCTCTAGTTGATCGTTGAATTATTTCGCCACGTATTCTGAAATGTTGAGAGTGAGTCTTGACAAATACACAGACGTCTGTAACATACATGCTGGCAAGAGGAAGTATATTGAGTTTTTTTAACAAGGATTTGCATGTGTCATCTGGTTTAGCACCGCAAATTGCGCGAATGCATTTCTTTTGTACTACAAACGCCCTACCCACATCTATGGAGCTTCCGCACAGTATTAGCTAAAAAGTAACTAAATCACTTCTGTTATAGAAAGTCGGAAACAACGGTGGTACCACAAACTCCCAGACCCCGCGACAGTATACAAAAGTTAGTTTTTATTTTCTACATTGACCGGACAGAGGACCGTACCCGGGGCCTCAGAGATGGAACACCATGAAAACCTGTGTGCAAGCCACTCGACAACAAAGCCAATGTATATATATATACATATAGCCTCCATTTATCAGGTGAACAGGGTGCTAATGAATGTTTAGAATACTTACCGTGCGTGGTTATAGGCCAACATGATCCTTGTGGCATGAGCTCCGACTTGCACGACCAGTACACCTGACAGTATGCCCAGCAGACCCTCAGGGTCGTGGGGCACCGTGGTGTCGTACAGCTTGTGGAAGGTGCCGTTTTTGTACAGGTGCGAAGCGCCTAGGACCACTCTGGAAATAACAATATATTTTTTTTATTTTTTACAATATCATGTGACGGGACGAACAAGTCGTGCGCCTGATTTAAGCTATACGCCTGTTCATAACAGTTGCAGTGCCACTCAGAGCTTTAAATCGCAAAGATCTGTGGGCCACTGCCACTGCGCCCGACACCCTGAGATATAATTAAGTTGACAAGTCCCATGTGCCTGTAATTTCACCAATTTGTTTCTCGACCTTGGATTCAAGTCCTTCAGTCGAAATATTATAATAATCGTGTTGTCACAAAGGGTCGACTTCACTTAATCGCTCATTAAGTAATCAAAATAAAACTGTTTAATAATTTGTTGGTATTATTTTTATTAATAGAGAATTTGATAATTGTCCTGTCTGTTATTGTTATAAGTTTTTGTTAAGTTCTCAACCTTGTTGTTGTGTTTGTATCTTTTTTGAGTGACAAAGTTTGGTCATCGAAATCAGCACTTAAATTAATATTTAGGTACCTACAGCACAAATAAAACCTCGCGCCATTACTACTTTATTTATCCTTAGTGAAAACTTGTTTTGTATCCCTGACCTCTCACTTTGACAGTGACGTCATGATATTTCTTTGTTTACAAAAAAAGACTTCTAGGTCAGAGTACTTATATTTACCTATCAATGTAACTAGCAATGCCTCCAGTGCAGTTTGCGACGGTATGATCGCCAAGGGCAGAACGGTGGAGCCCCCCGGGACCAAGATAGCCGCGGGGACAGCCCGGAGCGGGCACCAGTAGGCTTACGCAAACCTGGACGGCTACCAGGGCGATAGTCACCACCCACTGTTGCCATCCGGCTGCTATGTCACGGAAGAGAGAACGACCTGTAGAAGATAATTGACGGTATGGTTAGAAGTCAAGATTTGATTCGATATTTTCGATAATCACCATGTAACAAGATTTTCAAAAAGGCTCTGTTTCTGGTTGGGCAGTACTGGTTTCTAGTTAATTGAGCAGCAAGTATGTAGACAAAGAGTAGCCATAGGTACTCCTGAAACAGCTTTTGTGGCTGTCACAGTGGTATTTACTAGAGATGAAACGGATATCCGGTAACTATCCGGTTTCCGGCCTATTACTATCCGGCCGGATACCGGATAGTAGAATAATATCCGGCCCGATACCGAATGTTTAAGACTGAAAAAAATTCATAATCAATATGCCAAATAAATTTATTTATTGATTAACGAGGCTAAAATTATATTAGTAATAGGATCAACAACAACTACAGGATCATTGACAATCTGTTAATTACTTGTAACGTTACAGATAACGTTATCTAACTTGTAAAGTTAATTTAATATTAAAGTAAATTTAGTATTCAAATTTCAATAAAGGCAAATTATGGTGGATGACGACCAGTTTTTTTGCATTAAGTAGTAAAAGTCGATTCTATTTATTTTCATAGATCAGCTTCAGGGGACAGTTTTTCACTATATACTCTTGCAAACTTTGTTAAATTTTAAGTACTACTTGTTATTGCCAGACGACCAAATGAAAGGATCGCGATCACAATCGATTTGAATTGTCTTGAAATAATAATCGATCTTCTGTTTTCGTATACGAGTATACAATGTGTACCTACAATAATGAAACATGTAAATAGATTTAAAAATATTTTCTTTTCGGAAAATCTGGTATGAAGCTTAGATTAGGAAGAAGGCTTAGATTAGTTAGATCTCAAACAAATTAATGGAATCAAATTGAAACAAATTAGTAAAATTAGTAACTTATAACATAAAATAGTAACAACCTCTCAGGACTATATTACTAACATCATAAACAACAACTTCTGTTCCATGACTTTACAAAACACAGTAAATTTACCAAAAATAAACTTTCAAGTTTTTATTGTACTTTCTGACACTGTTTAGATCTGACTTTGCTTTTATATATGTCTATTTACGTATTAATTATAATTTATAGTAACAGTCAATGTAATATGTAGCAGTATTTATATATTTTTATTTTGCGTTTATTGCTGGCGTCGAGCTCTACGGGCTTACTGAAAACCTGCGCTGTGGTACGTTACGTTACAGCAGCACATGCTGAGTTAAGTCCCGTGTTGGCATGACGCTGCAACACAGACCATACCAGACTATCTACTTTGTATGTTTACTTTAATTCTAATTGTAATTATATGTCAAATAAGTTTTTGTACTTTAACTGTTTTTGTGTGGTTGAATTATGTGAATAAAAGCATGTCTATGTTTACTAGTAAGGTAGTAAGTTTTAAATGTGAAAGGGTCATCCCAACGATCGTCAACCCCGCTCCTCCATTTTGGATTGGACTGGACTATGGAAAAAATATATTGAACTATAGTCTATGGGAAAATAAAGGAATGCATGACGTGTTTGCGATTTTGCGTATAAATTTCATTGTTAAGTATGTCTGGGAAATAGATTTGTTATTTTGCGAATTTTCATTAGCATGGAGTGTACCTGGTGTTATATTCTGGCTTGTCCTCATGAAGAAGCACTCCACAGCCCCCACGATGAAGTACATGGCGGCCAAGCGCTGGAGCACTCCGGGTAGACGTACGTTCGTCCAGGAGACTTGCACTGCGCCCAGAATTATGCCTATCAGAGCCATGAATAGGGCACGGCGGGCCACCTGGATAACCAAAAAATTAATGTATAAGAATTTATTAAATAATTTTTTCTACCTCTATACTTTCTGTCAGAAAAGCGGTTTTTTTAGAAATTGTCTATCGTACTCGCTACTGAACTGAAAAACTTCATAATGAATAAATTTTAAGCAATCTCATATAAATACACACGATTAAAATTATTTTTAAGCATGCCTCGTCAGCCGTGGCCATGGAATATGTAAACATACCTAAAACATTTCGGGATGTGTCATACGAAATGTCATTTTAGAAATTCGGTAATCAAAATTTAAGGTTGCCTCATTGACCTACTAACAAATGGACGTCGGGTTCGCGCTAAAAAGTGTCCGCACCTATAGGGCGTTAAAATCGCATACAAAGCGTCAATCGCGCAACAGTCTTCGTTTGTTCGACTGACAGCGCGGTTGTCAATCATGTAGTACTATATAATAATAACTTGTAAAAATTACTGCAGTAAAGTGTAAAAACAGGATTTTGTATCATATTTTCACTAAACAAATATATCGTGTTATCATAATTTTCATTTAAAAGTGTTATTTGGTACAGTTTTAAAGTATTTAATTTACATATAAATTAATTTTAAATATAAACTGGAAAAGCAAACAAAATAATCAAATAGCTAACTGTCCTTTTTCTACACATTGCATGCGCAAAGGATGGAAAGAGACCCATTACATCAATTTCAAGAAGCCTAAATACACTTATTCGTCATTTTCAATTGATCGAACTATAAGCGATTGAAATATTTGGAACAAAGAAACTATAGAGTTGAGTTGATTTTAACCTTATTTTTAAAATGACTTTTTATTAAACGTTAGCAATAACTAACAAAATATTGTTGTACTCGTCTTACTGCTTGCGATTACCTATCAGAAGTCAGAAAATACATTTGCCCGAAATAACGTTAGCTCGAATTTTATATTTAATAATGTCAATGTAATGTTTAATTTTTAATAATGTCAAATGTATTTTTTTAGCTAAACAAAAGCTAATTTTGGCTTTATGTTCTCACAAAGCCAAAATTAGCTTTTGTTTTGTTGCATCAAAATTACTTGAAAGCGTAACGGTTTTATTATAAATCGGTTTTCGGAATTACGGATATTTGAGTTTACGTTTAGTTGTAATATCGGTACATTTCTTATTATATATATTCTTATATCTTATTATATATATAGGCTTATTTTCATATATTTTGTAGTAATATTTTTAGTAATAATTGTATGTATGTATCTGCACAACTCTTTATTTCTTTAATTGAATTTGTACAAAATTCGACATAATAATATATATATAAATTAATTAATATTTACGAGAAAGGCTATTCCATTACTCTTATGTTCAAGTGTTATTCAGTCGAAGCTAACTATGGTGCATTTTGTTAAGTTTCCAGTAGAAGCTGAATATGGTGCTTTTGAGCCCTTGAATTGTTGCATACAAAATTAGGTAGTACTGCAATGACGTTACAATTTAAATTAAAGGATTTAGTTTTTATATTTCCTTACATGTCACTACGTTTGTGTAGGTTAACTTCGGACATTTTTTAGTGGTTTTTGTTTTAGACCCGATGTCCATTTGTTTGTAGGTCAATGAGTTGCCTAGAAAAAATTGCTACTTGGCAATAAGGCCGCCTGTTGTACATTGACTTACTCTGCTGCTTCATTACTGTGTTGTGTTGTCATTGTAATTTTAATGTGCACATTAAAATATAGAAATGAAATAAAGAATATTTCATTTATTAAAATACGAAAAACTTCATCTCATATGTTGAACAAATAAATAATTCTTTAGAAAATTGACAATTTCGTTGCGGGGATTTGGTTAAAATTTGTAAAGTTACAGTACCTGATAAAATGCAGTGCATCGTGGTAGTGAAGTGCGAAGTCTGGCGTTTAGGGACAGCACTAGCGCCTCGCCCATCGCGAATGCGAACCAAGGGAACACGACGTCGGCCACGGTGATGCCGTTCCACGTTGAGTGCGAGAATATGTCGTAGCCGCCGCCGCCGGCGTTTACAAAAATCTATAAAACAATTATTTATAGCGTAGGTCCCCAAGTTTTTTGTCACACCACCACAAAAAGTAATTGAAATAAAATTTATATATATGTATATAATATATATACACATATATATATAAAGCTAATATGAAAAATATATATTTCATTTTAGCTTAACACAAAAAAACCACAAGAAAAAAAAAATACATATAATGTAGTGCAGTTATATAGATAATTCAGCTTTTTTCAAATGCGGTAGCAAACCCTGGACAGCGTCAACGCCCCCGAAATGCTTCCGAGGCCACTACCACCTAGAACTTCTGCGCCCATTGGGCGCTAGGGAAACTATTTTGGGAAACTATAATTGTACTTAAAGGGTTATCTAGGATATCGTCCTATATTTTCACTAGCATTAGAACTCCTTGAGAAAGACAACAGGCACATAATTTTACGTCACTGCTGTAGTGGCAGGGCTCCTCTGATTTACAGCTCTGCGTGGCACCGCAATCGTTATGTGGCTTACCACAACTTACCACACGCAAAATAGGCGCCTTGACGTCGAGTTGCGGATACCAGCCCGTTGCACCAAGTACCAAGTACCACAACTTTGTTATCTCGTCATTAGATGTTTAAAAAAATATATAACTCATACTGAGTTGCTACACTTTTATACGGAGTGTGTGTGTGATACAAGGAAACTGTCTTATGACTTATTAAGTCTTTTTTTGTAAAAACAATTTGGTAAAGTCAATTTTTTGGTCAAGCGTGAGTGGTACCTAAAAACTAATAAAATTAATCAATTTCTTTTATGCTGATCGACTCAGTTTCATAACGGTATCAAAAAAATGGGGACAGTCAAAGTTGGTCAAATATCATAAAATGTTTTTCGTACAAAATTAATAAAATTGACTATTTTCTTTTAATTAAATTTTTATTAAATTGATATTCAATAATTTTTTGTGAAATTACTCCACTAGTTTGTTATAATTATTAATACAAAGATCGAACACTCAGAAAAAATTCCTTCGATCCGGTCGGATTCGAACCGACGTCTTCTTGCATACCGTGTCAGACGCTATACCAACTAAGCCACGGAACGAACCAACGGACCTCACGAATTTTTCTATGTGCTTGCGTCGTGTCTTTGTATTTGGTTTTTCAATGACTTTTTAGGCGTATTTTCTTTTAATTCAAATACAATCAGTTTCTTATAAGTATGATTTCATTGTATCGGAAGAAATAAATCGTGACAGCAGAAGTCGGTCAAATTTAATAAAATGATTTTTTCTAAAATGTAAGCTCGCGTTGAAATAGGTCGCCTTAATTTGAAATTTACCGTGAGCTTTTCGGTAAAGGAAAACTGAAAACGGATGAAACCTGCACGTCGAAGGTTCACAACAATCGGAAACGTATGAAATCACCAACCTCGCCTGAGACACCCAGCAGTGGGCCATGTAAACGTGTTGATGATGATGATCTCAACAATGGGGAAATTGCAAATACGTACCATGAGCGCAATACAGAACCCTCTGAATATGTCAAGTGAACGCAGCCGCGAGCGAGTAGGGGGACGTGGTACGCTAACTTCTGTCGTAAGCACTCGTGTTTCTGAACCCAGCTCGTTGTCTTCTCTATAATAAAACACTTTGTTTTTGGTAAAAATTATATAAATTTTTTTGCAGGCTCCTTAAAGCCATACACATATCGTTGACATAAAATCATATGTATACCTCAGAGTGTTCTTTTTTTAAATGGGACAGTATGGGGAAATCAGAAACCATAGAAGATACAAGGAAACTCTCTTAGGAACCATTAAGTCATTTTAATGTAAAATCTATATTAAAATAATTTTAATATAGTCACTGTTTTGGTCAAGCGTTGTCGTCCATAAAAATGAATAAAATTGATCAAAATTTTTTTGTACTAATCGATTCAGTTTCATGAAGGGATCATTTCATTACATGGGACGAAAAATCGGGACAGCCGAAGTTGGTCAAATTTCATAAAATATTTTTCATGCAAAATGAATAAAATTTAGTATTTTTTACTGCTAATAGACTTGTTTCTAGATATGGTCAGCACCTTATTAACTGTCTTGTATATTTACCTGGCAAAATAATTTGCAATAAATCTACCCGCAGCCAATCTCTTTCCAATCCCTTTGACCACGTACCACATTGTGGCCATGGCCAAGAGAACGACTACAGTGGTCAAAATGGGCAAATACGCCGCGTCGGGCTCGGCCGTCATCTTTGGCAAACATTCATTATTTGTAACTTCCGTGACATTGAGCTTGTATTGGCCGAATTCGCCAAACCAGTACGTGCCTGTTGACAAAACAATAATAAAATTAATAATGTTTGCGGAATGTGAATGCCTCTACCATGAGCACAGTTCGAAGTGATAATAATAGTGATAATTATCATTGATAAATTATTGTGACAATTATCATTGACAAATTATCGTGATAATTATCACTGACAAATTATCGTGATTATTATAAATGATAATATAATTATAGTGATAATTAATTAAGATACTTATCATTGGTAATTATCACGATACTTATATTATCAATAGTAATTATCGTGATAATTATTGTGATTAAAGTGTACCTAATTTTGATATTTATAATATTAATTAGAACAACAAAATGCTGCCTTGTGTTTGTATCAAAGACGTATTCAAACGTGTCAAATGTCAACTTAAAAAAATGTGGTTGGCATGTGGACGGCAGGTCCAAAGTCTTATTACAGGGACATATAGCTTTCTGTGACAGGGTTAATGCGATTCCGAGTCGATAAGAGTGGTGACTTCGTAAGAGTACCTTAAATATATCCAGGTTTGGCGCGTTTTGAAAGATCTGGAGAAAAGGAGGAAACAAACATGAGTGTGCTAGGATTATAGCTTTAGACACCTAGTTCATTATTAAATTACTGTTATTGGCTAAAATGTAAGGTGAAAGACAGCCAGATGGTAAGTTATTCACTCTTTCCAGCTCAACGTTGCCATTCAATACAATGTTTTTACAAAGCACATAACACGAGCTGTAATTACGAGAAAAATCAGTGTTGTAAACTGCAACAATGAACTGGAACGACAACCCACTACCACTAGGTAGTTGAAATGGCTTACAGGTTAGCCGGCTGAAAAAAAACTTGTAAGTATTAATGTCGTCCTTGATTTATTTTACCCGACTGCGGGAGGGTTATGTCTTTCGAGTGTATGTCTGTATGTCTATTTCTATGTTTCCCTATACAGCTTAAATGGCTTGATGGATTTTGACATGACCCATATGAGGTGTCGTTAGATTCGTCTATCATAGGTTATAAAAAAATAAATAATCAAAATAATGAGATAGTTAAATATAAAATAAATATAAGTAGTAGAGGGATAGTTAAATTTTTTATCGTTCCAGCTAAATATTTTTGTAGTCAAGGTTTTGTTTTTTAAATAATTTTTAAACTTGTTTTTATTTGCGATTTGCAGTGAAATGTAGTTTTATATACTCCGCCACTGCTTCTGTGATGTCGATGAAGTAATGTTCTTTTTTTATATACGAGTAAAATACGAATAAAACACACACACCGGAGTTTTAGTTATTTATACATATTTAGCGGAACAAAAACAAAATGAGAATATAAAACAGTAATATTTATTTATTATTTATTGCTACTTTATACCTAATTCTTATATATTTAAATAAATAAGAATTAGATATAAAGTAGCAATTAAATTAACATCTTTTAACATCGACTTAGTACAGCCTGTTTGCGTGTGTTTTTGAGTTTGAGTTTTGAGTTTTGTGTAGGTATATTTTTTATGGACATTTTATTTTGCGTAGTTCATACAACTACGCTTAAATTACATCACAGTTACTAACTGTGAATATAACTGTGATGTAATTAAGACCATATAAATATATAAGTGAAGATAAGTAAAGATTTATAAAATATTTATATTTTTCAAAAAGAGATTAACAGCCCACGTTATGAATAATTTCTCACTTTGACTGTTTGTATTTCTATATGTAATTGCTATTCAAGTGTTACCATGACAATCGATATGCAATACTTGATTAAGACCTTGTTTTTGTGTTTTTTCCTATTATACTAGAACACCAAATTTGAATGAAAAAAAATATGAGTATTCTGTCAATACGTCATACCACAGCATTCTCTGTTGAAACTTTATGATACCTTATAATTCTCTTATAAATTTGTATTCTTTTGTGAAAAATATAACACGGAATAGAAAACTCATTCTACAGCGAAAATGCGGCTTACATTATGACAACGATAGTGTAAACCGCATTATGATAATATTTGTAACTGTATTTAACCCATATCTGTAACTATTTAGTTGTGTTAATATGTACCAGACACGCATGAAACAGCGCCAATGACTCACAATTCGAAGTATAATGATCAGTCATGCAGGTCAGATGGCACAAATTTGTTTCACCTAGTTCATGAATTGTATAAACATATTTAATAGCTGGATATTGCATAGAAATCCACAATTTTTCTGATGTTCCAGTTTTTGATTGTAAGTTGATTCTTCTAGCAGGCGTAGCATGAGCACATAAAATATATACCAGACACTATGTTACTTATAAGGCAGGGGTTCCCAAAGTGTGAAAGCACCATGCAGTACGCCGTAGAAAGTAAAGGGGGCGCCGTGAGGCTGTGACCCCGAAACCTTAATTATTGGCAGGCACAAATTAAATAATTAAAAGATATCCTCCACTCTGTATGGGATTTTGGCTAGTCTGTGGACAAGCAAGCACCATGAGTGTAACTATGATGTTAATATAATAGCGCTTACTATGCGGAAGACGAAGAAATACTTATTTCTTTCGACTGTACCTATCTATTACGATAATATATTACAACAATATAATATGAATTATAATATAAGGAATTAATATTTATAATAAACCCTTTGACGACCTCCGTGATTGAGTGGCTTGCATATCGGTTTTCATGGTGTCGCCGTTTCTGTTTCCGGGTTCTATTTCCGATCGGGTCAATGTAGAAAAACTAACTCTCCTATCCTATCGGGTCTGGGTATTTGTGGTACCGTCGTTGTTTCGATTTCTATAACACAACATATGTGATGTCTATTATTTATTTACTTGTAAGGAATTAATTCCTATAATAGACTCTTTCGTTCGGCGCCATAAAAATATAGATTTCTTTTTTCACATTTAAGTAGTTGGTTCTATTTTCAGATGATGCAAACTTTTTATTAGTCTGAATGCAGTCTTAGTCACTGTTAAAACTAAAAAAAGTTTTCATGAAGCAAACTTTCCTGCCTACAATATTTAAAGACTTTTTCTCCATGTCCCACAGTTGTATATCTTCTCCAAAGGACACTTGCATATCTTCTTCAAGCTGTCAATTCTCTCTCAAAAATGACAGACTAAAGCTATAGTACGCCACTTTATTTACATGACGGATGCGATATGTAGATTAGTGTCTACATATCGAACCCGTCATGGAAGAATGGCATAAGTGGAGTTACTTCAAAAACATTTATTGCTCCATTTGATACAGAAAAATATAACCCACATCCTCTCCAATTCTTCTCTGTTGACTAATATTGTAGATAGAGTTACAAGAATTGGAGAAGATGTGGGTTGTATTTTTCTGTATCTAATGGAGTAATAAACATGTTCGACGTAACTCCACTTTTGCCATTCGTCAATGAGGGGTGCAATATATCCTTTCACAAATTTTATCTACACTCTCAGACACATAATTCGAGCTACCTTGCATTTTTATTTTTAAAGGGTTAGAATATAAAAATATTGTTATTAACCACAGAAAAGGTTTCTTCCGGTTTTACAAATTCATACATATTTCCAGCAAGGACTTAAGGAAATGACGTTTAGTACTACTTTCAAAATTGCATAGTAGTTTTTGAACAATGGAACATTAAGCTCAGGGCATTTAATAATGAAAATGCAAGGTGGCTCGAATTACACAGGGTGTAATCATTGAGAGTGCCCAGGTGATTATTCCGTAAATATGTATTAAAAATTAAAAATATATCAAAAACTTTAAACAGATATCGACTTTATCTAATGAGTAAAACGATGTCAATTTGAAAATAAAACAAGAAACATCAAAAAAAAAGTTAAATGCTCCAATACATTCAATATTTATTTGACATTTGTAGAAATACTTTAGTTGGCCTACTTTAAGAGATAATAATAAGTTTACAGAAAACAAAAGTGCTATAAATAGAGTAATAACACTGTCTTTTAATTGAATAAAAACAAAGCTGTTTATTTTTAAGTAAGAACAAAATTTTGTAAAGCAGTTGTTTGAAACTAAAATCTCGCTACGAAAGTCATATTAAGGCCGCGGCCGCACTACTAAGGCGAGTGCGACGTGACGGCGATTTCGTGAAAACAAACTCATATAAACACTTAGAATAATAACGCATAGAATTATAGTTTCATATCAAACGAACTGTCACAAGTGAGGCAAAAATCAAATTCATGTAGGCTAGTTTTAGTAGTAGATTAATATTCGGTTTTAGTAAATATTTATATAAAAATACAAGTTGAAACGCGTTACTTCCTTGTGGAAAGTGATGTTAGTATCTATTTTATGTTTGTCTGACGTATTTTTACACTCATTTACTGCACCTTTCGTCATTTTTAGCTAAAATTCTGGAGCTGTTCGCGGTGCAAGTTGACCTTGAACACTGAAGGCCCGCCCGCTCGTGTAGGCCCTTTGGGAGCGCTTCAATTTGCCTCACTTAGCGTGTGCGGGCTAGGTTCTATGTGTTATTATTTTAAGTATAAACATATGTTGGTGGCCGCACTGCACGACACGACGACAAGAGAAATTTATTTGTTCATATCATGAAGAAATTTCAAATGTTCAAAGTAATGAGGGTGTCCGCATTAAATAAAATTATTTAACGACCTGAGACGCTGCAAAAGCAGCACTGCTTTGTTTTGCATTGAGCTTTGACGCGAGTTTGCCGGACGTAGAAGTTGTGTTGGCCAGCGATCCCATAAGTGACGATGGTATGAGATTGCATTTTAAAAATTTCGAATTTCGAACAACAATGCCGAGTTGTGTCGTAAAATTGTACATCCAAAGCAGTTTCAAATTGACTATATAATAAGTAAACATTTTTATTTTCGTTTTATTAAAACTTTTTAATCTGCTACCCCTTATAATACTAGTTATAAATGTAAAATCTTATACATGTGACTAGCATTTGATTATATTTCTTTCGATAATGAATTGAGATTTGACCTCACTATTGTAATCTCTCTAAGAGGCCATCATAGCGTGCCAGTACTACTGTAATACTAATGTCCACTTGCACTAAACTTAAGTATGTCTTAAACCAATGCTTAAATTGATAAGACACTCTTAACACAATGTATTAAGAGTGTCTTTTGCATTGCAATTATTGGTTTAAGACGTACCTAGGTTTAGTGCAAGTGGACATTAGTCTGGTGTTGAAACTAAAGCAAATATCAATAAACCAGAAGCTGTCCTTTCTTGATCAAGAAATAACTGGTACTATACATATAAGAAGAATCATGAATATACAATAAACATAAATGCATTGGTAAATGATAAGTAGCGTTATTTATTTTTATTGCTTTTTTATTTTTTATTATGTTACTAAACATATTAATTATTTTTAATAGGCATACATTGACATTTTACATTAATTAGTATTAAATAAAGATAAATAAATTTTGAGATATTTAGAACACTGATAGCCTTGTTATGTTATTAATAATAACTTATTATAGAGAGAGTAATAGAGGCCCATCGAGTATATAACCCGAAAAAAAGACGAAATATGGCCATCCATCCTTGGTATAATAAGTCATCAGGCAAATGGGTCTTATATCACTAGAGGCATGGTAACCGCTCGGCCACTGCCTCAGTGGCCGAGCGGTTACCATGCCGGACTGCCACGTAGAGGTCCTAGGTTCGATTCCCGGGTCGGGAGAAATATTTGTGTGGCCTACATTTATTTCTCTCGTAACTTTGGATGTAATTTGTGGTAGTTTATATGTGTGTCCATGGCACCTGAGACACAGAAACCCTCTGCAAGGTATGTTGAGTGTGTGCGTTATTATTATTACCCGTCAATTGTTTCGAATTCGGGCTGGCCAATCGCAGCGTAGTTGTCACCGTAACGATTTGGCAGAATAGTTTTCAAACAAATTAAATGACATTTCATCTCTATTTCAGGTTATATACTCGTTGTAGAGGCCCTACCCTCGAATCACGAAATCTGTAGTTACGTGCATTTTCCCACTATGGATGACCACTTGAGTTGAGATCAGTGCTGGAACTAAGAATGTATGACAACGCCATTTGACAGTTTCGAACTATCGTCTGTCGTGGGCAGAGATTGGTAAGCGCCCGGGTTTTAACCCAGCGCTTGGTTAAAACCCATTACTTAAATATTTGTTTCAAATCGAGTTTTGTTCAAATTATTGAATTTACATTAGGTACATTTTACATTTTACATTTAAATTAGGTATATTTTTTTGATACCAAATTTGTCAGGATCCTGACAAATTTGGTATCAAAAAAATGTACCTAATTTGTACTATTTAGTACCTCTGTTTAAAAAATTTGTACCTCCATCAGAACGAAGTTATAGCCAAAGGTACACCTGCCGTATTGACTGTCAATATGGCAGGTGTGCCTCGGATTACCAGTATTTATTTAATAACTATAAAAACTTCTTATTCCAAAAATTTGTACCTTAATAGTACTCTGAAGTAAAGGAAACTCCAGCTCGATCTGCTGGTTAGTTTCTGAGAAATAAGACAAAATATGTTGAGATTTCAGAGTGCTGTGTGCACTTAATGAATCCTGACATATTTGGTACCAAAAAAATGTACCAAAATTGTACTGTATATGTTTTGCTTTTCTTATTTTAGTTGACCATAAACTTTCTCTTAGTAAATGTAAAACTTGATGTCTGATTTGAGGCCCAGCCTCAGTCCAGTGTAGCTCTTGACCCTTTTATGCTACAATAGTTATTAGTAATAAAGGTTAATAGTATTATCATTTCTTTAGTAGCCAGGTTTTCCTTGGTCCACCTCAGAAAAAATTTAGTCCACCACAGAATTAACTTCAAATGTCTTTAGCTGGAACATATGGTAGCCCAGATTTTCATACCCATTAGAGGGTAACAATAATTTGGGTCACCACATAGGATTGATGTCTCACATCCTCAATGATGGAATTGCGCATTTAGCTAGAGGTTCAATTATATTGATAGTTTTCTGTGTAGTTTTATCATGTCTTTCAACTATATCATGCAAATTTTTGGTGTTGTACCTTGAGTGTCACGGTGGTTGAGCATGTACTGAACCTATTATACATCCTACTGTCATACCTGTGCCTGTAATGAATTTGATAAGAATTTTTTTTTCATTTACAGAATTTTTTTTATATGGTGGATGAAAATACAGCTGCGCTTTAGAGACACTGTGTGGCTATCATTACGGAACCATGTGTCTCTTAACAATTGTATGTGAATGTATGACTGATTAATCAAACTCAGTGTCCTTGAAAGCATTAATCATAATTCATTCATAGTTTGCTTGTCAAGCCTCATTTTTCAGTCTTCTTATTTACAATACATTTGCATATGTGCAAATGATTAGAATAGTTTCCTACACATCTATTTTAAAGTACGTAATTGAATGTCAATATGTACAGCTCTTTACTTAATTTAATTATGTATTGCATGACCTCCCAGACAGCTAAGTTAAAGTGATAAAATAAATTGTGTTAATTTGCCTTCCTTATACTATTTCATTTATCGGATATTCGAGTATAATTGATAAATAAAAAAAATATATATTGAAGTATTACAGTGTCATAAAAAAATGTCGCGAAGTACCTAGCATGTTTAAAAATAACTTCGTAATTTACAATTCAAACAAGGAAAGAATCGTTGCAAGTAATTTAAAAATTACTAAAACAAAATAATTAACTAGGCCAAACTGTTAACAGCGTGCTAAATACAATAAATTATATCGAAAAACAAGCTAAAATGCGTGCGAAACAAAGAAATAATACACAACAAATGTAACAAAACACGTAATGCGTACGTACCATTGCAAATAGGTTCCTTGCCATCTTCGTATTTCGTCACGCTATAATGCACAGGGCTTAGTGTGCGAAAGACTAAAGATCCACTGGAACTGATATTCTTTTTAGCCAGCAACATACAGTCCTGGCACTCTTCATACTGGCTCCAGAACGTGACTTTCTCAGTAGTGATCACTTCCAAACAGGCGCTGTCGTGTTGCAATAATACACCTTCACAATCTCTCATCAAAACGCCAACGTTTTCAAATTGACCCAGCGGCATCTTGAAGTCACAGTAGACACATGAGGTTTGTTTGGGTCACTTTTAATTATAACAATGCAAACAATAAAAGCAAATTTCGCGAAAACAAATCCGAAAAACGTCAACATGAATCATCCATCAGTGGAAACGTGAACAGTGACACGGAAAAAGCATCGATACTTTTTGTATCGAGTACTTTTCCCTCCGATACCGATACTATTCATTCGATACTTTTCAGGTATTAGTACGTCAAGATCACGTCAAGCTTGATACTTTGTAAATACTTTGGACCGCTCTTATCGTAAGTGGCATAAAGTGTCAAGCTTAACGTGCTCTTGACCCTATACTTTTTGACAAGTATCATATCGTTCCGAATAATTCCTACATATGACACACCTCATATCATAACATTCATAACGCAAGCCACCTAGTGATTATTTTAAAATGGGAACCTTTATCGCAAATTAGTTGGCTGTATATTGTTTGCCTCTTTAAATGAAGTTTGTCCCTTCTTCAGAACGTTTGTTCTCAAAAGCAGGCAATACAGTATCAAAAACAAAAAACAGACCATCACCAAATAGATATTTGTTTTCAAGTTACTGTACAGAGGAGTGGGAAATTAGAAATTTAAGTAACACAAATTTTATGTGAAATTGTCATTGATTGAATTGATCAATTGATTAAATTAACCAAATTCTTATATTATTTGTTTCAATTAAAAATCATAAATCAATAAAAAAAGACAAATTCATGTGTTTTATTCTGTTTTTAAGTAGGGAAAATATGCAGGACAAAAGTACCGATACCTCCAGGTATCGATACTTTTATGAGTACTTTTTATGCGATACTATAATGGGTACAGTATCGATACTTTTGATTCGATACTTTGTCCCTAAACGTGAAACGAGTAACTTTAACTTGCGTGTAAAGTGTAACGAATAACGAGAGTTTCTAAAAACTATTTAAAATACAAGTGAACGAATGGTTTAAAAAATATGACAGTAGGAATAACTTTGAAGTAATATGAGTGTTTCATTTATTATAGCGATTTTTTATCATTGTTCTTATTGTATTAAAGCCATAATATGATAATAACGTAAGAAAAAATAATTTTAAGTATAGGTGTCATAATGAATTTAAAAAAGAATCAACGATCATCGAATTTAGTGCTCACTATTTAATTTCCTTTAAAAAGATCTGAGCACGAACGAAACGCAAATAACCTTCACATGTCTTTGAAATGTCAAAACGACATTTCTTATCATTGATAGTGCAGTTTCGGCAGTGCCGTACACCTGGAACCCGCTTACTTTCTCTTGCAACCATGGAACCGAAGGTCAGTCTGAAGCAAGACCCTGCGTACCAGAAACTTCAATCTTTCTACGATGAAAGCGCCGAAAAAATCAATATTCAACAACTATTCCAACAAGATCCTGACCGTTTTAACAAGTTCAGGTAAATTATGTTCGTTTTTTCAAAATTTAAAACTAATTTACACTTTTTTAAGTATTTTATGGCAGATTTCTTTGTCCATAAATTATGTGAATATTTTTTTAAATTTAATTATAGTTTCCCGTAAAGTTTTATCGTGTCATTCTGTTATATCATGCAAGTTTTCGGAGTTGTACCTTTAGAGGTCACGGAGATTTGCGAGTCGCAAGATCGTACTTCATTTGTTTATACATATTTATACGTTGTACAATAAATAGTCTCAATTAAAATTATTAATTGTATTGAAACTTTGAAGTTTAATTTCTAGAAGTTTTGTCTTAATCTGTGATATTTAGTACCATGTTTTTTGAACAATCGATTTTTGAAAGTTAAATAATTTCAAATGTAATAATAATAATATTACAACTTTATTATTAAATATGATGCAACTTTGACCCCTGCCCGAAGGTCCTGCATGAAATTATTATAATGTGAAAAGTAAAATGATAGCATTAAGCGCATACAAATTGTAATTCTACCTACATATGGAAGAAAAAAAAATTGCTAGTTATGGTTTACATTTTAATTTATATCTTTTCTACTTTTGAGAGAAACTTTCTCATATATGCTTCTGAGAGTTGAGTGACCTTGTGATCTCAATCAATCAGTCAGTCATTGATTGAAACTCATATGATTGTGGCACGCCACATATTTTTTGGCTTTGTAGTTCTGCATGGCATGGTTTCACTTCTCAGCTTGCATCTTACCTTATATTCTATCCTAGCCCCAATTAGAGGCTTATATATTATGTTATTAAAAAAAATGGTCACTGCACCCAGTAATCATGTGTCACAAAAAAAGTTTCATTTGTCTATTATGAATTACTACTTGGTACTTGGTGTAACGGGCTGGTGTCCGCAACTCGACGACAAGGCGCCTATTTTGCGTGTGGTGGGTGCAGGGTCCTACTCGTGCCACCCAAGCTCCTCCAGGAATCTCAGCAGCCTCCTCGGTTTGCTGAAGACTTCGGGGAGCGACCTTGGCACTCCAAGGTACTTTGCCCTGTAGTTGGCCACGCCGGAGCACTGTAGTAGGATGTGCGCAGCCGTTTCCTCCCCCTCCATGCACGCTCTGCATAGAGGGCTGTCTGTGATACCTAAATTGAAAAGGTGTTTATTGTATGGACCATGACCTGTTAGGGCGGCAGTTAGAGTGCGAAGCTCTTGCCTGTTGAGTTTAATTAATATTCGTGATAGACTGGCATTGAGCGTTGGGAGTGCTTCCCTCGCCTGTCTACAAACCGTAAGGGTGGTCCATGTATTATTATGTGAAGTTTTTGTACCTTTGTGTATAGTTGTTCTGGACCATTGGTAGGGGAGGGACACTATGGGTTCTGGTCCTACTGCGTCCGTCTCCGACCCTTTTCTGGCTAGTTCATCTGCTGCGTCATTGCCCCGTGAGCCGCTGTGTCCTTTAATCCACTGTAGAGTTAAGTGGTTTTGTATACATACCTCCATGAGTGCTTGATGGCATTCATAAATGAGCCCTGAGTTTATGTCATAGCTGTTCAGTGCTTGAAGTACTGACATACTATCAGAGAGTATTCGAATGGAGTGGTTCTTTACTCTTCTCGCTATGATTGCGTCTGCCGCTAACTTGATGCCCATGCATTCAGCCTGGAATACTGTGTTGTGGTCACCAAGCAGTGTTGATATCCTGATATTGAGGTCTTCTGAGAATACCCCAGTACCTGTTCCTGAATTTGTTTTAGATCCATCGGTGAAGACGCGGACCTCTTTGGGGTTCAGTCCTTCATTTGAATCTTCAAACAGTTGTATCTTGTATTTTTTGTCGAAGATGTATTGTTTTGGGATCCTATCCACAGCCGCCTCCAGTAGCGGTTCCTCATTGACTGTCTTATAAAGGATTTCTGTATGTGGGGTCCTCATGTGCTTCCAAAGGCCGGCTCTGTTAAGACGCACTGCTGTTGACGCCGCTTCCTGTCTAATGAACATTGGGAGGGGTCGCAAGTCCAGCATCGCTTCGAGGGCCGCAGTCGGAGTTGTCCTCATGCAGCCGGTCGTTGCCATGCAAGCTAGTCTTTGGAATTTTTCCAGTTTGTCGGTTGCGGTCGTCAGCTTGGTTCGTGGCCACCATACTATCGCGCCGTAACTGATCATGGGTCTTATCACTGCTGTGTAGAGCCATAGTGTTATTTTGGGTGAGAGTCCCCATTGTTTACCTACCATTCTATGGCACTGCCAGAAGGTGATAGTGGCTTTTTTAATTTTGTTGTCCATATGCTTGTTCCAATTCAACTTGTTGTCCAGTATTACTCCCAAGTACTTGACTTCGGTTGATATCTGTAGTTCTGTACTGAAGAGTTTGGGTAGTAGGTAGTTACCCAGTAGTCTTTTGTTTGTAAACATTACTAGTTCCGTCTTTGTTGGGTTTACCGATAGTTCATATGCCCTGCACCATCTTTCCACAATCCGGAGTGCAGCTTGTGTAATGTCGCAGAGTACATTGGCATAATTTCCTGTTACCAGTATAGCTATGTCATCAGCATATCCTACTGTCTAGAAATGTTCTTTGTTCAATTTAATGATGAGGTCATTTACGACCATGTTCCACAGCAGAGGCGACAGTACCCCTCCTTGAGGGCATCCCTTCGCTACTATGGCCCATGGGGTCATATTTGCTGTCGTTTTTATTGTTCTTAATTTTAGCATGTTGCTAATCCAGCTGATGAGCACTTCATCCACTTCGTGCCTCCTCAGTGCTGACTGGAGAAGTTGGTTTTGTCGAAGGCTCCTTCAATGTCGATAAAGGTGCCTAGGCAGATTGCTTTGTCTTTGAGGGCCACTTCTATCTTGCCCACAACGGCATGTAGGGCTGATTCAGTGGATTTGCCTTGACTGTATGCATGTTGGTTTCCGTGTAGTGGTATGTTCTTAAGCGCTCCATCCCTCAGTTCTCTGTCACATAACCTTTCTAATGTTTTCAAAAAGAACGATGTGAGGCTGATTGGTCTGAAGGACTTCGCGTCAGTGTAGTCGTTTTTACCTGGTTTCGGTATAAATATGACTTTTACCTCTCGCCAGCTGTAGGGCACATAGCTGAATGCTAGACAGGCCTGAAAGATGTTGACCAGGTGCTGGACCAGTGTCCCCCCGCCCCATTGTAGGAGAGCGGGGAACACTCCATCTTGGCCCGGAGCTTTGTACGGTTCAAAGGTGTTTACTGCCCATTTTGTCTTTTCGTATGTTACTACTTGTTCAGCATATCGCCAATTATGGGTCGATGTATTGTAGTTCATTTCTTCGCACCTTACGTCTTGGACGAACCTACATCCTGGGAAATGTGCTTCCAGTAGGGTTCTCTCCGTGTCCGCAGGGGAAGTTGTGTATGTGTTGTCTATTTTGCGTATTGAACCTAGCTCAGTTGAGTTTGAGTTGCCTAGGATTTTCCTTATTCTGTTCGCTTGTGCACAAGACGTTATGTTCCCGCAGTAGCCTCGCCATGACGCGGTGCTCCTGAATCGTATGCGCTTTTTTAGCTTGGATTTGGCCGTCTTGTAGTTTTCCCAGTCCTCATCCGCGCATGTGTTCATTGCTCTATTGAAGCTTCTCCTTACCCTTCTTCGTAGCCTCTCAAGCTCAGGTCCCCACCAGTGTTGGCCTTGCCGCGGGGCAGGTTCACTCAGTGGGCATGCGGAGTTATAGCTGCTCAATATGTTTGATGTCAGTCCTGTAACCTGTGTTTCTATATGTGCTGTGTCCAGTAGTCTTCCCGGTGCTACCGGGTCCCCAAGGCTCTGGTGTAGTTTGTCAATGTATATTTTACGATCGGTTTTTCGGGGATTCCGTTTCGGTTGTTGTTCTTTGATGGTTGTTTCTAAGTTGAATCTTATCCATCTGTGGTCCGAGAAGGATGCTTCTTCGGACACGTGCCAGTCTTGGACAAGATTTACAGCTCCTTCGGACGCTAGGGTTAGGTCTATAATCGTCCTGCATCTTTTATTTACGAAGGTTGGTACTGTACCTTTGTTAAGGATTTGAAGATTAGTTGTGAATAAGTATTCTGTTAGGTTCTTACCTCTGTCATTAGCAAGTTCCATGCCCCACAACGGATGGTGGGCATTGGAGTCAGTGGCCACGACGATGTGCTGGCCGCTCTGCTCGCAGTATTTGATTAGCCGTTCCATTTCCTGCGGTGGTGGTACATCAGTCTCTGCCATATAGACAGAGGCGAGCACCACTTCAGGCAGGCCCGTGGCCGTGTCAGCTAAAAGCTTGACGGCACACAGGTCTCTGGAACAGAATTCTGTTAGTGGTTGTACATGTAAATTATTAGAATAATATATGCAAGTTCGTGGTTTTTCTGAGATGGTAGTTGATATCAGCTTACCTCTCATTTGTGAGAGTCCATTTATTTGGCCGCGGGCGCTGATCCACGGTTCCTGGATCAGTGCCACGGCTGTGTTGTTTGCCTCCAACCATTTCCGGAGTTGAACCGTTGCGGCCTGGCTGTGGTGGAGGTTGCATTGGATGGTTAGTAATTTACTGAGCGAGGGGGTAACCGCCATCAGTGGACAGCAGGTCCTCGCTCAGTCGGATGTCTCCCATCCCCGACACGCACTCGTCCGCAGAGACGGGGGTCAGGGAGGGCTCCTTCCCTTCTCCGGTGATGCCAGAGGAGGTAGAGGGCTCCGGGGAGACATCCATTGGTGGTTTAATGATGTTCGCCTTCTCAGGCGGCGTATCCGTGTACAGGCCCCTTTTGGATCTGAACCTGAGGTAGACCGTGCCTAACTGGAAAGTGAAGCGCCGGTCATGCCCCAGGACAGCCGGGACCAGTTCTTCGGGGAGGCTCACCACCACGAAGGTATGTCCACTTTGCTTCTGCAGCTTGTGGACAAACCAGCGGTGAACCTCCGCCCATGGATTTTGCCACTTGAGGATGCGGCCGATTCGGCGTGCATCCTCCCAGTGGCCAGGAATCAACAGTCCGCAGACTGCCCTCCGGGGAGCCTCCACCCCATTTTTCAATGAGAGGGGCTCCCCGGACGGCAGCCTGATGGTGCTAATGGCATCTTCAAGCCACTGGAATGTGGCTGTGTCGTGGCACCACAATTTCAGGGACCCGTCACTAAAGACAGGTTTACCCCTGAATTGTGGGCCGACGTCCTCCTCGCCGCACTCCTCCGCTCCCTGGGCGAGACGCTCACATAGGGCCTCCTGAACCTTGTCGGCATCGGGGCTCCGTATGTAGCCGGTTTTTGCCGAGGTGATCACCGCCATCAGTTCTGGCTTGGTAGCCTCGGCGTACGTTCGTTGTTGGGCGGGCCTCTCAACCCTTTGCCGTTTATGCTCGCCTCTCGGAGATATGGTCTCGTCGAGTCGAGCACGTTTGGCATTGGTCGAGGGCCTCGGCGCGTTTACCGGTTTGTTACCATGAGGGAGGGGGGCCCTACCAGAGGGATGTGCGGCGGACCCAGCAGACCGCACTGGTGCAGTCCTCGGGCCACTTCCGTCATCCACTGGGGGCCTCGCCTCTCCCTCCTTCGGCTGTTGGTTGTTGGGGTTTTCACGGCGCTCGCGTTCCCTCAGACGACCTTTCTTATTCTTGCGGGCAGGGCGTCCCCTGCTCCCACTGGGGGCTGGAGGTGGTCGCTCACCGTGGCCGCTTACCCCTTCCTTGCGGACGGGTGCTGTGGCCTTGAGTTTGGGTTTGCGACTCACCAGGGTCCACCCTGCTTCAAGAGCTGTGTTCGTGGGGTTCTGCGATGCAGAACCCGGTGTGTTCGCGGGGGCCGCAGAACCCGAGGTTTGGGCCACTACCGCTACTGCTGAACTAGCACCAGCATCGGTGCTTGGCTGGCCTTGGGGTTTCCCCTTTGGCCTACCACTCACCGTAGGGCGCTGTTGTGTGTGTGTATGTGTTGTTGGGGCACTTTTGGGTTTCCCCTCCAGTACCACCGGTTTTGAGTGAATTAAAGTTTTGGAATGATCGTTATTGTCCATAGCAAAGTGTTCATTGTTCGCTCTCCTGATTTCCCACCCACCACGGAGCCCGCACCTTTGGGGATGTCCCATTCGGGACACCAGGATTATCAGGAGAGTATAGGTGCAGAAGTTAGGAGCTCATTGCGCGACATCGGGGGCTCGAAATGTGCGGCTGGCTGACTTGATCAAAGTCCGCCAGGTACTCCGCACATACTCACCCCGTCAGCATGGCCGAGTCCGTCCCCCCCACACCTCGCCGGTGGCCCTCTGACGGGACACATTGCCGTTTCCCTGTGTTGGCTAGTCACAGGGCTACCGTTTAGCATGAAATCAGGGCCAAAGAGGGCGTATTGCTTGCCGGGGTCTCCACCCCGCTCGGGCTCAGCCCCCCAGGATCCCTTCATCCCTGCGTACGGCGCTCAACTGCGTAGGCATGAACGCAGGAGGGTGTAAATTAAGACCGCCCACCACTTGCCATGGTCCACCCCCAGAGACGCATGGCCGGGCCGTGTTGATCGCTTCGCGCCCTCACTGGCAAGACTCAGACTGAAGCCGAGAGTTGTCAGTGTTGGCCCCAGGGTGTACCGGCTACATCCTTGGGCGTTTTGTGACAACGTGTTATCGCAGAATGTTCAAGAACTTCGCACGCGTGGAGGTGGAACAACTAACACACCCCTTATGAATTACTATAAGGGCATTAAAATTAGAGGCTTAAGCTGCGGTTCCGCCAGAGATGTGCAAGGTAGCTAGGTGGTGTGTGAGGACAAAATTCTCCAATAGGATTACCTAATTTTTCTAGCCTCGCTATTTGTACATACAATAATTGCAACTTTTTATAAAAAAAACCGAACTCCAAAAGTTTGTGGTATTACATCTATAACCCAAGTTTCATTGAAATTGGTTACCGGAAAGTGTGCGAAATTTTAATCATCCCCTAGTTTAAAAATGGAATATTTTCTTTAAATTTATATGGTACCATTACTGAGGTACCCTCTTTCCAACAATAAAGAATCATCAAAATAAGTTCACAAATCGGAGTTAAAAAAATACAGTCGAATTGAGAACCTCCTCCTTCTTTTTCAAGTCGGTTAAAAAGGCGGGAGAAGTGTGCGAGGGATACGAGTGAGGAATGTGTGCGAGGTGTGAGAGCGAGGAATGCGTGCGAGAGACGCGAGCGAGGAATGTGTGCAAGAAACGCGAGCGAGGAATGGGTGCAAGAAACCCGAGCGAAGGATTTGTGCAAAACAGTGTAAGGAACTAGAACTACTGGGCCGTCGTCTGCGCTCACCCCACCACACCGCACCGCACCCCACCCCCCACAGCTGAAAAGTCCGCTACTCATCTTCACAGCGCTCAGCTACACATTTTTCACAGCTTCGCTACGCATCCTCACACCGCGTAGCTACCTCGCACATCTCTAGTTGAGCTGCCGCCTGAGAAGCGCCACTGTACCTCTGCAGTCGCGCCACTACTAATTTTCATACAATATTTAGAAGCCTTAGAGGATGGAAAAAATAAGCTAGAAGCACAGTTGCAGCGCCAATGTTATGACAGGCGGGCGCCACTTTTGCTGTCACAATTAGTGAACTAAAAGTTACTGATGCTATATAGACACGCGGCTGCTGCGCCAATCCAGCGCTGTGGTTATGTGCTCAGTGACCCCAAGCATCTAATTTGTTCATATCTAAACGATTCTCTAGCTCCATTTTATGCATTAATGCAACAAATTTCCTGATAATTTTAAAAATATTAATACATTTCCGCTTTTAATACGCATCACCGGGGGACTAGGCGTAGGCTGGGGTTCCACCCCTTTATTGTGGATTTTCCAAAGATTCGCACGAAGTGTTACGCTTCCACATTTATATGGGGAACGGCTATGGAATGGGATTCCTTGCGTGCAGACTTGTTCCCTGAACGTTATAACTTGAGCCTTTTCAAGGCGAGAATGAATAGGCATTATTTAGGTGTGCATGCTCCATCGTCGACCTCTCGTCACTTTCCATCAGGTGAGATGGAGGTCAGATGCGCACTTAAATTTTATAAGTAAAAGCACGTGTAAATTGTTTGTAGACATGAGTATAATAAACAACTATAATTGAAAACTTCACCCCTTGTAACTTCAGATCTCGTAATCCCTTCATCACTTGTAATTTTTTTTGTTGACGGTTTCCAGTCTCCGCATCCCAACACCCAACGATGGAGACATCTTACTGGACTACTCCAAAAACCGCGTAGATGGTGCCACCATGGCGCTTCTTCTTAATCTTGCTAGGAATCGCGGCGTTGAAAAAGCTAGAGATGCTATGTTCTCAGGTAAAATAGAGCCGACTAAAGTAGAAAATAAATAGGAAACTCTATTAAAAAACAAATGTATTTATTGTATATAGTCTTCTATAATCCGAAACAGTTGGGCAGAATGCTGAAAATGTGTATGATCAGTAATTATGAACGTACTTATACCATCTTATGTTTATTTCTCCGTGCATTAGCAACTTCAGATCTCGGCTTAATTGCTTACATATTTTTTAATGATAAATCCTATAGTCTTCTTGTGTGTTGAGTGCCGTGATCACAACATTTTCATCCAGGTGTGCTGTTTCAACAAATCTTACAGGAGTGTACTAAAAAGCAGGTCCAATAAGTAATGTATAGGTTAATCACAATAGTAAATGTATATTATAGTAAGATTTTAATATAATAGTTGAAATAAAAAGGAAATCTTAAAAATCTCTCCAATTTTCCATTACCAGGTGAGAAAATAAATTTTACCGAAGACCGTGCGGTCCTTCACGTCGCCTTGCGTAATCGCCAGAACAGACAGATCCTCGTGAATGGGAAAGACGTAACTCCTGACGTAAATGCAGTGCTCCAGCACATGAAGGAGTTCACTGAACAAGTCGTCTCTGGACAATGGAAAGGGTAAGCACCTCTTCCCTCAGAACGAAAAGAGGCACAACTGCTGTATAAATTTACGTATAGTTGCTTAACAAACATTTGATGCAACTAGGATCCATCAACATCTCGGCCTTTAGGCGATTATCACACGCGCCACGCAACGTCGCCGGGCTGCGTTTCTTAACGTTGTATTGAAGTATCTTAGTTTGTATAGAAAACACGCGCCATACAACACACTGACACCACGTCTCCGTGCGGGACTGCGGGCCGCATGGTTTGTCGTCCCGCGCACTCCGCTGCGTGGTGCGGGGCATTGTAATAATCGCCTTACAACACAACACTAAGGCCAAGAGCTCACGGAGCGGTTTTCACGAACGTAAATTAAAGAACGTAATTTACAAAATTATTTACAATACGTTTTTACAACAGACCATGAAACAAACCGGATCAAACAATGTAAATAACGTTTTCCGTCAACATTATTAGCTATGTCCGTTAGTGAAAATGTAAGCCTTATTACCATTGACCTTTCAACAAATGGATATCGGGTCTAATACAAAAACCACGAAAAAAATGTCCGAGGTTAACCTATACAAATGTAGTGACATGTAACGATATATAAAAAACTAAAACATTTAATTTAAATTGTAACTTCATTGCAGTACTGCCTAAATTTGCTTACAACAATTTAAGGGCCCAAAAACACCATATTCAGCTTCTACTGGAAACTTAACAAAATGCACCATATTTAGCTTCGACTGAAAATTACCTGAACACAAGAGTAATGGAATAGCCTTTCTCGTAAATATTGATTAATTTTTTTATATATATTATTATGTCGAATTTTGTACAAATTCCCTTAAAGGTATAATAAAGAGTTGGGCAGATACATACATACAATTAGTACTACAAATGTGAAATAAGCGTGTACTATAAGAAATGTACCGATATTCTAACTAAACGTAAACTCAAATATCCATAATTCCGATTTATAACAAAACCGTTGCGCTTTCGAATAATTTTGATGCTTTTTACATAGACAAAATTTTTGTTTTGTAATCTTCGTAAAAACACATTATGAAAATTCGAGATAATGTTATTTCGGGCAAATGTATTTTCTGACTTCTGATAGGTAATCCCATGCCGTAAAACGAGTACAACAATATTTTGTTATTGCTAACGTTTAATAAAAAAATCATTTTAAAAATAGGATTAAAATCAAAGCAACTCTACAGTTTCTTTGTTCTAAATATTTCAATCGCTTGTGGTTCGAACAATTGAAAATTATTAAGAAGTTTATATAAGCTTCTTGAAACTGACGTAATGGGTCTCTTTCCATCTTTTGCGCATGCAGTGAGTAAAAAAAGGACAGTTAGCTATTTCATTATTTCGTGTGCATTTGTAATTTATATTTACGATTCAGTTATATATAAATTAAATAGGTACTATAAAATTGTACAAAATAACACTTTTAAATGACAACTATGATAACACAATATATTTGTTTAGTGAAAATATGATACAAAATCCTGTTTTCACACTTTACTGCAGTAATTTTTACAAGCTATTATTTGTACTGTATATATTGGTACCATTGACCCCTACCATTGACTTATAAATAAAATTACACATATATTTCACATTATTTAAGTTTGAATATTTCTATATTACCGCCTTCATTGTACAAACTACATTAGCCCTTAAATAATACGACATAAATATCTTAAAATTTGATTTCAGATATACTGGCAAGCAAATTACCGACGTGATCAATATTGGTATCGGTGGATCGGACCTCGGCCCACTCATGGTTACGGAGGCACTCAAACCTTATGCTAACCATCTTAAGGTAACTTTTAATTTTTAGTAGCAGTAGAGCTCCTTGTGAGAAATTTAAGAAGTAGGGGAGACCGGGGCTTTAATTAACAGGGGTAAGTATTAACAAGTGATTTTCTAAAAAACTATAAAGTGCACGTCACTAGCGATTGATCAATTTTGTGCCCGCGACAGTGCTGCTCATGTTGAGACGCACTAGTTGCCATCAGTACGTCATGGGAGCGTATTATGTGCAGTGCGTCTGTTTTTGGCAGGTAAAGATTTTTTTCACCTTACGATTTTTTATTTTCATGTTGAATAATTGATTTTGCCGTGTTATTATTTATTTCCTAGATGCTGGTTTTATTCTCAATAAAACTACATAGCTTTATTAATGTCATTGTAAACTATTTTTACCTATGATTTATTTGATTGAAAAAGTACCCATGGGGCTAAAATTAACAAAACAGACAGGGCAAGTATTAACAAGTTAATTCTCACCCCGATGTTGGGCTAGTATTAAGTGGCCGTCTGGATTTTTATTTTTTGTATATATTTTTTTGTTACAAGTTACAGCATGAGGACGAAAAACTACTCAAGGCTTGGCTTCCTTCAAGGATTACGAGTCAGCTGCTCTTGAAATAATGGAGAAGAAAAGAAACTACAGGGAATTAGCTACAGAATTTCAACTCCGCTACGTCACACTGTTCAAATTTGTGCAAAAAAGAAAGCAGGAGTCGCAGTAGAAGTAGCTGAACCTTCAGGCATGTAAAAAGATAAGTACTGTATACCAATTTTAAGTATAAATGAATCTGAGGTGAGAGAATAAATGCCTAGGGAAACGGTTGCTGGACTGTGAGTGGTAGAATGTTTTCTAATCGAAATCGTAAGACCTCTGCCAAAATCTCAGCCACAAATTCAATTGAATCGTAAATCCACAGTCCAGCAACAGAAGAAGGAAAAAATAGAAATTTAAATAGAAAAAAATAGAGAAAACAGGAAAGACACAAGGTAAAGGAATGGGAAAGAGTACAAGAAAAACAACTAAAAAAGGGAAATAGAGAAGATTACGAGTAGAAAAGGCAAAGAAAAGGAGATTGAAAAAAGCTGCAACTGTTCAGAAGACGAATATTACTGTGTTGTTTGGGGCGTCCAAACAATGAAGATACATCCGGTGGGTGTAGACATCTTATGCAAGCAGTAAAATTTGTTAATTATTAGAAGTTATTTAAGGATTTGTTAATTTTTGTTCTTGTATAAAAAAGGTTTTGTTTGGTTTTTAGTTTCTTTTCGTTTATAAAGCTGAAACATTGTTATATAGAATTTCAACTTTTTAAGTCCGATGTTAATTATTTGACTTAATAAAAAATATGATTATTGTACATTAATGTTTTGTTTTAATAATGACGGATTATGCCAAGTATGTTAATTCTTGCCCCGTCTGTTAATACTTACCTCGGAAGCGTTAATTCTAACCCCGAACGCGGGGTAAGTACTAACAACCGACTTTTCTGACTAAATATGACTTTCTGAAACTAGTAACCGTTTTTTATCAAATTAATGCCAAGATAAGATAAGATAAGTGAATAGTTTAAGCATCATTTAACACAAAAATCAAGTCAAAATGTTATGGCGTTTTGAAGCTACAGCTGAAAACATATTTTTTGTTAATTCTGAATCCGATCTCCCCTACTGTGACCATACATATGTTTCTCCGCCAAGTAATAATGTTTGTGTTAATTGCATTCCGGTTTTGAAGAGTAAAGGATGATTGACATTAGACCGTGTCGGGCGCAAGCCGTGTCCGAGTCATCCGAGCCTCAGACGTGCTGCATATTCATATTCACATTAGACTGTGCCGGGCGCGAGCCGTGTCCGGGGCATCCGAGCCTCGTACGTGCCGCACGATCTTAAATTAGACGTGAGTCAGTCAGTAGGACGCGGTTTATCATATTATAAAGTACTGGGTACAGTTCTTCCGCACTCAATTAATTTTACATCATCCATTTTTTAAAAAAGAACGTAGTCACTCTCTTTAAACTCCCACACTCGGACGGGGCGCGTACGACGCACTGGAGTGTTCACATTACAACGAGCTGAGACTACCGGGCCGCATCTGAGGCTCCGACGAGCTCGGAAGCAGCTCGGGCGTCACTCGTTCGTGACACGGACGCGGTACGTTGTAATATGAATCACTTCATATAAAATGTACGCAGCATTTCCAATCCGAGCCTCGTATGTGGCTCGTCTCGCGCCCGGCATGGTCTAGTGTGAATAGTCCTTAAAGACGGCTTCCCACGGGCCGTGGACCGTTTCGAAGAGAAATGGAAAAACTGCTTTGCTAGATCAAATGGTTCAAGTATTTGACATTAAATAACGGCCTTTCGAAAAATATACGATCTACGTAAGGATATAGTCTAAAGAATGTGCTAATGTGTTTCACGATTGGATGTACTTTATTCTATCATATAAAATCCTGAAAACAGGTTAAAAATGGGTTAAAATTACGGTCTAAGACGAATTATTTAAAAATATCTAATTTTGTACATAATTTTTATTTTGGTTTTCAACTGAAGCCCTATTAGTTATAAAATTGACATATAATTCAAATTTTGCAATTTGCCCACCCGTTAAACGACACGCCACGGCGCCCCGTCAGTAGCCATCGGGTACTCGTCGACGTCGGATCTGTGTCAAATTTTATACGCTTGTCCTTATTTCATATTAATTTATAGCGCGCGGATTGCGGGAGGTAGGCTTGCGTTGACATACCTCGCCTTAGCAAATACTAAATAAAAGAAATACTTCATTTGGTCTAATTTAAAAGTAAATAAAACTCTAATAAATGGAACTACGGTTGTATCTATCCAGTAGGGCTGGCACGACCGGGCGCGACTTGTGCGAGAGCGACATGCAGCGCGAAATCTCTATGAGAAGCAGTATCTTGCGCTTTATATGGCTCTCGCGCAAATCGCAGCCTGTCGTGGTAGCCCTACAGGATACTGTCTGCATCAAAAAAAGCACTTTCAACTATTATCTTTCTGCTTACTTTGCTTAATTACTGCCTCCATGGCCGAACGGTTACCATGCCGGGAGGTCCCAGGGTCGATTCCCGGGCTGGGAGAAATATACATTTATTTCTCTTGTGAATTTGGGTGTAATTTGTGGTTGTGTGTGTGTGTCCATGGCACCCGCGACACAGGGTTTCCCTAGTTGGCTATGTTGAGTGTGTGTTTTATTATTATTACTTTTAGGTAGCCGTTCATTTAATATAATTTTTATTTGGACCAATTTCACTTCCTATAATTTAACTTCATGTAATTCTCGTTTGATATACATTCACGTTTTATAAAAAAAAATACATGAAGCTCATTTTATATAATTATCATTTAATATATTGTCAATTTATCATTTTCCATAATTAATAAGTTTAAACTCTACTCGTCGAAATAATCTATTAGTAGGTCAATGATCTCAGAAAACTATAATGTAACTTTTTGTAAAATACCCTTTTGTACATATTTATTATAAATAATTTTCATCTGCCCAGGTACACTTCGTATCAAACATCGACGGTACCCACCTTGCAGAAGTATTAAAGAAGCTAAACCCTGAGACAGCATTGTTCATCATCGCATCCAAGACCTTCACCACCCAGGAGACCATTACCAACGCCACTTCAGCTAAGACCTGGTTCTTGGAACAGGCTAAAGATGTAAGTGGGGAATAAATACTTGTTAAAAAATAAATGTTAATTATCGAGTTCTTAGGTTTTCGCGATTGTTACACATAGGAAATGAAACTATTTTTCCGGATTTAAATCGCGTATATTTGTTTTTTCAAACAAACCGACGTTTCGGGCCCTTTACAGGTCCCATTGTCACGGTTGGAGTCAATCAAACCGACAAACAAACCGACGTTTCTGGCCCTTTACAGGTCCCATGGTGGTGTCCCAACAAATATACGCGATTTAAATCCGGAAAAATAGTTTCATTTCCTAAATGTTAATTGTTAAATAGTAAATTTTTTTATAAAATGTAAGTTCGCATTTGACCTCCATCTCACCTCATGGAAAGTGACGATGAGATCGACAATGGATGAATGCCTATTCACTTTCGCCATGAAAAGGCCCAAGTTATAACGTTCACGGAACAAGTCTGCAGGCAGGGAATTTGTGTTGTGAAAATTGGACGACAGATCCATTCCAAAATTCCAAGTAGCTGGAGACTGTCGGCTACCAGTATGGATATATCACGAAAAGTCGAAGTCAGCTCAAAGGGACTCCGTTTTGTGGACAATAAACACCCCTGCGTTTGGTAGCGTTAAATTTGACAAGATTGGCATTGCCCCAATAGGAGACTGCCTTGAGTGCAAATCCAAACGGCTAACCATAGACTCACGACAAGACTGGATTTCCTCTCCACTGACCCTTACATTGGTCAAGCACCTGTCTACAACTGCGTTGTCATCAGCACACACAAAGGTACCTGGAATTAACATATCATTGATATGCAGTAGAAAGAGTGTTGCAGACAGTACGGAACCCTGTGGAATTTATCGCCGTATGTTCGGAAAAGTAGCCATCTCTCATAAAGCCCACAAACGGGAAGCTTACTTAAAAGGTTTGCGTGCCAGACCCTGTCAAAGGTTTTAGAAATGTCCAAAGACACTGCAAGTGCTTCACCTTACTTTTCTATAGCCTCGCTCTATATGTGACAGGCATACACAAGAAGATCCCAGTTGATCGCCCTCGTCGGAATCCGTACTGGCGATCACTGAGGAGGTCGTTGTCTTCAAGGTACGACAGGAAACAGTTGTTGAGTACACGTTTCATAGTCTTGCCGAGTATGGAAGTGACTGAGTTAGGTCTATAGTTGACAGAGTCAGCTCTGGTTCCCTTTTTCGGCACAGGTTGCACATTTGCATGCTACCTCGACCCGGGAACTACATCAGTTTCAAGTGAGAGGCGATACAGGCGTAGGCGTGTGAGAACAGGAGACAACTCAGGCGCACAGTTACGTAGGACTAGTGCTGGAATTCCATTTGGCAAGCTATAGCTTTATTCACGTCTAGATTCAGCAGAATTCTAAGTACCTCTTTTTGGCGTATGCGAATTGGCGCCATAGTGCAGCGTGTTTTAGTGTTTAAAAAAATAATTTGTCAATTTCTGGCGTCGCCATTTTCACTACGCATACATAATATGGAAGCGTGCGCGTGCTTACGATCGGAGCGCCTGATCTAACTGATAAGAATTTGATTACTGTGGAAAATACGTTATTTTATTTTTTCCTTTGAAAAAGTTTTTGTATAACGGTTTTTGTAAAAACAAACACCAATATACAAATACGTTTACGGGTCGCGCTCGCGACGTCGAAAAGCCGCCTCCGCCGACACTTTTTTTTCGACGCGCCGCCGCCGGTTGGTCTATTATCGGCGCTCATGTCTTAACCTTAAATCGGTTAACAGAAAGTGAGTGAAATCCAATGAACCGCATTCACACTCTAATTCGCCACCCTTAACCGTGAAACGCACAGACAGTGGATGCGGGTCGGAAGCGGGCGCGTGTCGGGTGTATGTCGGGTCGGGATCGCGTCGGGTCTAATTCTGTGTATTTATATGAATGACAAGACCCGCACCCGCTCTCTGTGTGTTTCACACTTTAGAGGTGGAACATTTCCTTGAAATTTAAATGGGACCACTACTGAGGTATTCTCTTTCCATCAAAAGAAGAATCAACGAAATCGGTTTACAAACGTCGGGGTAATCGCATAACAACACACAAAATAGTCAAATTGAGAACCTACTTCCTCTTTTTGAAGTCAGTTAAAAAGCTCCCCTGTAAAGATAGCATTACTTTAATAAATTTAAAAACGTAATAATAATAAAGTGCTAGACAACCACACCAATTATCTGGTCTCAGACTAGAAAATCTACTGTGTGTACTCTGGTCAATGAAGTTAATTTCCGTAATTATAGTTGTTAAATATTCAAGTATTCACTTAATGTGTTTATTACAGCCTTCGGCAGTAGCGAAGCACTTCGTAGCTCTGTCCACGAACGCCGAGAAGGTGACCGGCTTCGGCATTGACTCCAAGAACATGTTTGGTTTTTGGGACTGGGTTGGCGGCAGGTAAGTTCTAACAACTTAGGATACCATTAATGCCCTCACTCTTGCCTTTGTTTACAGATAGGAGATAGGATATAATAATTATAGTAAAATCCTAGACAACGACATCAAATACCTGATCTCAAAGTAGGGAATTCCCTGTACTATGGTGCCAGAGCAACAGTATTAATTCCGGGGTTCTACCCAGAACAGTCTGGCCAGAGATAATTTAAATAGTTCTTTATTGAGATTTCTTGTGAATTAACTCGACTAGTTCTGCTATGATTATGAATACAAAGATCGGACATGCAGAAAAATTTTCGTCGACCCGGTGAGACTTGAACCCACGTCCGTGCTGCACCGTAACATTGCTCCAACCATCTGAGTTCAGTTACCGAGTCATCGAAATTCTATTATGTGTTTTTGTTTTAAAGTTCTTTTTTTATGATATCAAGAGACCGGACGTACGATGCGTAAGCCTGGTGGTAAGCGACATGCCTCTCCATAGCAGTCGTAGTGCCACTCAGTGTCATCTCCCGGAGATATAAGTTGACAAGTCCCAACCGAAACGCGGTAATGTTCACATTACTGCTTAGCGGCAGAAACAGGTAAGCAGGCAGTACTTCCTGGACGAAGTGCTGATCAAATTACAGGCACATAAGATTTGTCAAATCATGTCTCAGGGTGACGGGGGTAGTGGCAGGACCCCTCAGATCTTTGTCATTTAAAGCTCTGAGTCGCACTGCAATTGCTATGGATAGGCGTGTCGTTTATCTCCAAGCGCATGGTTTGTTCGTCCCGTCACTCTTGATGTCATAAAAAAGAACTCTTTCACAAGGAGTTCTACTGCTACAAAAATTCCCAAATTGGTTCTACCAGGATCCGTACCAGGGACCCCCGGGAGTGCTAGTGAGACATTTTTGAATAACGAAAAGTCAGTACAAAAATTGAAAGATGTTACAGATAACAAAAATACATAGGAGAATTTCGTTTTTGGTAACTGGATCCGTGGCTCAGACGGTTAGAGCAATACTACGATGCAGCATGGACGTGGGTTCAGGTCCCACCAGATCGACGAAAAAATTTTTCTGTGTTATAATCGTAACAAAACTAGTGGAGTTACTTCACAAAAAATGTCAATAAATACATGAACACATTTTCTGATTTTTTTTAAATAATGATTTTTGTATTCAGATACTCTCTATGGTCTGCGATCGGTTTGTCCATTTCTCTTTACATCGGGTTCGAGAACTTCGAAAAATTGCTGGAGGGAGCCAATTTTATGGACCAGCATTATACCACTGCTCCTCTTGAAAATAATGTAAGAATTGTTTAATTATCATCATCATTAAGGTCGAAATATGTCCACTGTTGAACAAGCCCGCGTTCCTCTTTTTTATTATTTATTTTTTATTTTTCCTATTGTTAAATAATAATAATAAAAAAATCATTGACTTAACTTAATCTAGGTTACATATCGACCCCTCCTACTTAAAGTATCGTATGTCGAAATTGCCAAGTTTACAAGGAAGCGTCTTAAAGTTTTGAATTATCTGAAATGAGCATAACACGTGACTTTACACACACACTTAACACACGCATTTCTCAGTTTTATTCGTCAAAGCTATCGGATATCGGTTATATAAACAACCACAATTTATTTTATAATTTTATACTGCCACCCGACCCGCCCAGGCTCACTTTACTTTTTTTTAGGATAAAATTATAAAATAAATTGTGGTTGTTTATCTAACCGATATCTACGATTTTATAATACTCTATGTGAGTAATGAGCTGTGCCAAATAAAACTGAGAAATGCTAAAGACACGTGTTGCTCATTTCAGATAATTCAAAACTTTAAAACGCTCCCTCGCAAATTTGGCAATTTCGACATACGATACTTTACGTAGGACGGGTCGATATATCATTGTTGGTGAACTGCTTTTAAGTGTGAAAATACTTGTGTCACAAGCCACCGCTCCTCCAAACCGGTACGTACGAGTTGTCTTAGTTCGACGCTCATACGCACTTATCGAATACATATGTAGCAGTTTATTAATTTGGTTATAAATATGACTGGATTTTTTTATACATTGTCGAGACGCAAAAGTTATCTTAATAATATGTATATGCTGCCCACATTGTTTTCTTCTTTTCCGAAGAAAATTGTTTGTGATTCTTCAACTTATTCAACACAAGGTTAAAATATTTTAGTGAACAAATGAAAGGCCTAAAATAACGGCGTATTTTAAGTACGAACATAAAAATGGCTCATTGCATGCTAGCTACATGGTCACACTACTTCCATACCCAATTTCAGTTCATTTAGTGGAATACTTTCCAAGACTGCGATTAACAAACGATGAAAGCCAGTTTTGTAACATATATTACCAGTGATCGGAAGAGGTAGAGTTTATTTACCTAAATTTCGAAGAACAGGGACAGAAAGTGAAGACTGCTTAGCGACTACATTTTTTTGTCTCGGATTTTTTCGGCATTCGGATAAACGCTTTTTTAGTAGATTAAAAAATTACCTTAATTGGGAAGGCAGTAGGTAAACTACATTTATCTAAACTATGCGACGAGTTGCTGCAACCACTAATTTTTAGAAAATTTCTGACAAAAATAGGCTAAATTTTGATAAATATACTCTACCTACCTATCCCAAATAACGTCAATTTTGTATGTATTAGGTATTGGGTGATTTCCTTAATCTCGAAAAAATCCGGGATAAATAAATGTAGTCGAAAGGCAGTCTTCACTTTCTGTCTCTGTGTATCGAAGTTACGTAAATAAACTCTACCTATTCCGATTACTGCATATTACGTAATGATTTTAATCAGTTTATTTTTATTATTATTGATACACAGATGGAACAAATACAGATTAAAAATTCCTTCGATCCAACTGGATACGAACCCATGATTTTTTTTATACATTAAAATAGCATCTAATTATAAAATAATTATGTAGGTACTTTAGTATTTAAAGTAAAACTGTAGAAAAAAATTGTATGTAGGTTACACCACTTTTGCGCTGATAGTTTATTTTTTATTAAATAATTTGTCACAAAAATAATTTTTATTTTACTTCATTTCATGTTTATTTATTTTCATGTAGATGAATAGTACTTAAAAAATAGGCGCCTTGACGTCGAGTTGCGGACACCAGCCCGTTACACCAAGTAGTACTTTTAATAAATAATTGAGTTTACACAGTCAACAGCATATCAACTCTATTTTTGTTCGAATGTCGCCTTCAGTGCAACGGAACAATTTCCGTCAATGTGAAACTTTGATGTGCTGCCGTCTGTACATAAACAGTAAATAATTTTTACTTCGTTTCAATTAGAGTGTTTTAATAATTTTCAAGGCTCCTGTAATTCTGGCGCTACTCGGTATCTGGTACCACAACTTCCACGGCGCCGAGACTCACGCCTTACTGCCATACGACCAGTATTTGCACAGGTATATATTTTCCTCTGTCACCTGACTAAATTCTGTACCTAATCTGATAATTAGGTTTTTTTTTTCATGGCAACCTATATTCGATTTTGCATTTCATACCTTGACCTATACTGGTCTCGGAAGAAAGAAAGGCACAAGCAACAAATTAAAAATTCGATGATAAATGAGTTTAAAAACTATCTAGATTTTCTGATAAAAAGAATAGTTAAAATATATTTTTGATAATTAAGCACTTTATTTATGTTAAATATACGTACATAAGACGTTATTTTATACATAAACTTCCATATATTTTAATTAATTATTTTTTTATGAAATAAGTGTTTTATTACAACAGTTAACATTCTATATAATGAGACGTAATGTGATATAGTTTTTAATGTATAATGCTTAATAGGTGTGGTCTAGCCTGATAAAGTATTCTGTAAATTGTAATTTAATGTGTAAATTGTAAATTATTTATACGTTGCTGAATTCACTTTACTGAAATAAAAAAAAGAAATTTGAAAGAAAAAAAATATATTTTTTTAATTTTTTTTTCATACTCTCTTTTTACTTTGTACAAAAAAAAAGTTTATTACAGCGTATATGTGTTGTTGTATGTTTTTAATATTTGGATATTCTAATAGATTCGCAGCCTACTTCCAACAAGGCGACATGGAGAGCAATGGCAAATATGTAACCCGTGCTGGACAGCAAGTTGACTACTCGACGGGTCCCATCGTGTGGGGCGAGCCTGGCACGAATGGACAACACGCTTTCTACCAGCTCATTCATCAGGGCACTAGGTGAGTGGAGAAATAATAATGCACACACTCATAGTCCCGCACTGGGGAAACTCTATATGGACACACACATAGAAAACCACAAATTACACTCAAACTCACGAGACAAATAAATTTAGTCCATACAAATATTTCTCGCGACCCGGGAATCGATCTTGGGACCTCTGCGTGGCAGTTCAGCATGAAAACCGTTCGGCCACCGAGGCAATTGGAATGTTAATTCAACGGGGAAAAATATGGTCTCTTATTTGTCTGCTTCTTAGGTCGAACAGTTACCGTGCTGGTCTGCTACGCAGAGGTCCCGGGTTCGAATCCCGGGCCGGGAGAAATATTTGTGTGACCTACATTTATTTATCTCGTGTGTTTAAGTGTAATTTGTGGTTGTTTATATGTATGTATGTCCATAAAACCTTGGATACAGAGTTTCCTAAGTGTGGGGCTATGAGTTTTCGCGCTATTATTATTGTTATTATTATAATGGGGTAAAATTGAATAATCATTAGGAATAAGAAACATCTTCTGGTGGGGATATTGTTTTCATTTTGTTTTTCATATAGTTATTAATGCAGTTTATCAATGTTGTTGTAGGTCATTTGTTAACTAAGATATAAAGATGCTGCAGATATAAACCCGTATTTAAATTTAAACCCGGCTGTATTTGATGGCAGTCTGTTACCTTTTCTTTTTTTTACCTAACATAGTTTATAAGTACTACGTTCATCGTATGTTTATAAGTCCTGAGACGTGTTTTTTTTTAATAATATTAAGTGACTGGATGAACAAGTCGTGCGCCTAATGGTAAGCTGTGTAGCTTGTGACACTGCAACTGTTATGGATAGTCACACGCCATAAATTGCAAAGATCTGAGGGGCACTGCCACCGCGCCCGTCACCCTCAGACATAAGTTGACAATTCCCATGTGCCTGTAATTTCACCAGCACCCTTACCCTTCAAAACCGGAATTCAGTAATGCTGATATTACTGCTCTGCGGCAGAAATATGTAGGTAAGGTGCCAGTACTACCCTGGATGAACTATTTCACAAGGAGCTCTACTGCTCTATAGTCCATAAATGATACACAGATATAGCTGGCACTACATAGCTCATTATTGAATAAGGCAACGTATCTGTGGTGGTACGCTAAGGACCACAGAATTCTAAATAATTTTTTAATAAAAAAAAATCGACCTCAAAAGTTCGTGGAATTTGGTGGAACTACATCTATTTGCCAAGTTTTATTGAAATCGGTTACCGGAAAGTGCAAGAAACCGGATTGATCCCTTAGTTTGACACAATTTGAAGTGGAATATTTTCTTCATTATAAATGGGGCCAATATTGAGGTATGCTCTTTCCAACAAAAAAGAATCATCTAAATCAGTTCACAAATGCCGAAGTAATCGCGTAACAATTCATACATACAAAAAAATACTGTCGAATTGAGGACCTCCACCTTTTTTGAAGTCGGTTAATAAAATTAAATTTCTGTGCTAACGTTTTAAAAACACCCACCACACTTACAGTGGTTTGCTTAGTGGTAAAATGGCTTCCGCAGGTTTAATACGATAAAAACTGAAATTTTTGTGATTGTTACATAATGCATGTGTGTCATACGAATTGATGATACCTTAATCTCACGATAGAGTTGCTATGGGATCAGAACAAATTTTTCGGAGGATATTTTAATTGTAAACCATAAGTGTATTTAGAAATTGTCAAAACGAATCACTTATTTACTTCTGTAACTGAGACATAGATTCATTTAGTTTGTTTCTATTATTTAACCGACTTTAAAAAAAGAGGAGGTTCCCAATTCGACTGTATTTTTTTTTGTATGTATGTTACGCTGTTACTCCGGCAGATGTGAACCGATTTTGATGATTCTTTTTTTCAATGGAAAGACCTCAGTATTGGGCCATTTAAATTTGAAAAAATATTCCACGCCTAAGGGTGGCAAACTAGAGTATAAATCCGATTTCGCGCATTTTACGGTGACCAATTTCAATAAAACTTGGCAAATAGATGTAATCCCACGAACTTTTGAGGTCGGTTTTCTTTATAAAAAGTTGTAATTTTATATTATGTTACTTGTCAAATAAACTTTTTTTTTTAATTTTACTTGTACAGACTAATTCCCTGCGACTTCATAGCACCAGCGCAGACTCACAACCCAATTTCCAAAGGGCTGCATCACAAAATCCTGCTGGCGAACTTCCTCGCGCAGACCGAGGCACTTATGAAGGGAAAGACTTCCGCCGAGGTTAGTATAAAAGCTGCCTTTCAAAAAAGGCCCAAAAGAAAATAGTTAATTTTTTAATTTATTTTATTCAGAGTTGGAAATTATCGAGATATTTATTTTCTTTGATAATTATCATGATGACCCGATATACAGAGTGTTTTTTTTAATGGGACAGTATGGGGGAATCCGAAACCATAGAAGTTACAAGAAAACTGTCTTAAGAACCATTAAGTCTTTTTTGTGAAACAATTTGGCATAGTCAATTTTTTGGTCAGGCGTGAGTTGTCCATAAAAATGAATGAAATAGATCAATTTTTTTTAGTGCTGGTCGACTCCGTTTCATGAAGGGATCATTTCATTGCATGGGACGAAAAAAATTGGGACAGCAGAAGTTTCATAAAATAACAAATTTCATAAAATATTTTTTCATACAAAATGAATAAAATTTACTATTTTTTTTATTGCTAATAGAATCGGTTTCTTATACGGATGACTACATTGTATGGGAAGAAAAATATTGGTACAGTAGAAGTTGATCAAATTTAATAAATAAAAAAATATATTATACAAAATGAATAACATTTTTATAAAGGTAACGGAAACGGTAATAACTCTGTGCAGGACGGGGGTGGGAGTTGTCGCGGAGGACGCTAAGCACGTTTGAACTTACCTTACTACCAAATACAGACCTAAACAGTGTCAGACAGTATAAAAAAAACTTAAAAGTTTATTTTCGGTAAATGTATTATATTTTGTAAAAATTCATGGAACAAAAGTTGTTGTTTGTGATGTTAGTAATATAGACTTGGGAGGTTTTTGGTATTTCAAAAATAGCCTGTATATATTTTTTGTTTTAGGCCAAAGCGGAGCTAGAGAAATCTGGCATGGCACCTGAGGCTGTGGCAAAGATCTTACCCCACAAAGTATTTAAAGGCAACCGCCCTACCAACTCCATAGTCGTTAAGAAAGTTTCTCCGTTTGTACTTGGCGCCCTTATTGGTAAGATATTGGCTAGTTATTACAGATTGCTTTTTTGTTGTAATATCAAGTTGTTCGAACAAGTCGTGCGCCTGATGGTAAGCTACACGCCTGTCCATAACAGTTGCAGTGCCACTCAGAGCTTTAAACGCAAAGATCTGAGGGGCACTGCCAATGCGCCCGTCACCTTAGACATAAGTTGACAAGTCCCATGTACCTGTAATTTCACCAGCACCCTTACCCTTCAAAACCGGAACACAGTAATGGTAACATTACTGCTTGGCGGCAGAAATAGGTAAGGTGGCAGTACTTACCTGGATGAACTCTTTCACAAGGAGCTTTACTGCTTACAATTTCAAAGCGCTTCTATTATAGTTTTGGTCCTACAAAAATACTTAGTTATGTTTCATTTCTATTTAGGCTTTGATTAGAGCTTTTAAAAATGTATCCTCAATCTCATGAACCCACAAAAAGTGGAGGAAGTTAACAGCATCGCATGACACGCCAGTCGAATCCAAATTCTAGGTATCCGATAATATAGTGTCACAACTCCGGGGAAAAGGACTGGAAAACACATCAGTACTTAGAAACCTGATTTATTTTCGACAACAATACACAACTGCACGAGAGACGAATCATTTTCAGATTAGTTATCTGTACCTAATTTCGGTGGCAATTATTTCAATATAAAGAATAATATCATGACGTACTATTTATTATTTGAGTGTAGAAACTTGAAATACTCGATACTTAAATAATAAAAATTGCCACTGAAATTAGGTAGTGAAAACTAACTTGGAAATTACCCAGATGAGTCAAATCCAAGCACAATCATTCGACTCGAGTCGAATGATTACCGATACCGAATGCCCCTGCCGTTTGGTCGGGTGCACGACTCTAATGATTATTAAAGGTCTATCCACACATATCCGAGCCGTGCCCGGGACGTTGACGGGCCGTGCTCCGTCATGGGCTCAAAAAATATCGTTGCGTGTATTTTTTATGAACTCGTTGACACATGTCCGTGTCCGGGCCGGCGCCGGGACGGGCCCGCAGTTCATACAAACTAGCACGCCTCGTCCACGTCCCGGGCACGGCCCTGATGTGTGTGAATAGTCCTTTAATCGGAACACCTCATTCACCATGTCAATATTAAAATATCCCTGTCCCCGTTACATTTCCGGTATTTACCATATGTTAGAGAGGGCTAGGTAATCATGAGTATTGTTGTGCTTTATGGAATCTAAGAAACAAAGAAAGAAAATTTTATTCAGTACTAAAATTTCATTTTAAATTGTACTTAGAAAATAAAAAATAAATTTGAAATAAAGTTAAAGATACTGAATGGGCACCACTCAGCATATGCCGTGGCTGAGAACAGTCATAAAAAAATTCGAATTAAAAAAAATCGACCAAGGTCACGCTGGAATAAGAGACGCAGCATTTTGTGACCGGCTCAAGCCAATTCGGCGTATAGTAATTACAAAATAAGAGGCACCTTTTGACACTTGTCATTGCAACGTAAATAGGGATGTAAACGAAACATATTATTATCTGTAACCATATTCTATTCTCACGAGAAATTGATTCGAAATTTTATGAGTCTTATTTTTAGGGTTATTGGTTTTCAGTTCTAGATACAACAATTAACATTTATTTAAGCAATGTAGAGTTTAATATAAATAGTATTTACGTATTTTAAATGATCACAATGACAATCTGTAGCTGTTGTTGTAGTGTAGTTACAATAACGGAGTTCACTGTACTTAATAGCAAAATTCTAAAGCAAAACAAAAAAATATTTTTGTACATTAAGAATGTTAATATCCCTGTCAAAATCAAAATGTCAATATTTTTTAATTACTTACAACACTATTATTAAGAAAAAATAGATAGAGGACGTAACTATTTTTATGATGTTTCGGACTAACTGCATTTTGTTTTGGAATTCGTTCGAAAATAATACTTGAAATATGTTTTATACATTTCACATTAAGTTACATACTAGCGTTATCCTTAGTTGTCAAATTGGGCTTCTTACAGGATAATGGTCGTAACAGTCTCTGAAATAAATATTAAACTTCTTTGACATTATTTCCCAGCAATGTATGAGCACAAGATCTTCACGCAAGGAGTTATCTGGGACATCAACTCGTTCGACCAATGGGGCGTCGAACTCGGCAAGCAACTGGCCAAAGCCATCGAGCCTGAATTGCAGGACAACAAGCCCGTTAACTCACACGATGCGTCTACAAATGGTCTCATTAACTTCCTTAAAGAAAACTTTTAAAATTGCCCGTGATTTGTATCTGATAAAATGCAAAACTTTTAATTTGAATTGGTTTTGAAAATTTATTTATTTTTAAATAAGCGTTTACCTCTTTTTGGAAAAAATCGTGCCCAGTTGAGACTCGGTATGTTGTCTTCTTGCGCATATATGGACGTAACTTACAATTTTAACGGGAAAATGTTCATTACATGGTTTTATCGAATAAATCATCCCTTTGGTTTGACCCGTTTGGCTCCCATCCTCATTTAATTCTTAAGTTTGTGGAAATATAGGTTATGGTTTTCCTCTTTAATATATAGTGTGCCCTGTAAACAGTCGATTCCTTGTTTTAATATACAGTTGGAAATATAGGTTATGGTTTTCCTCTTTAATATATAGTGTGCCCTATAAATAGTCGGTTCAATATACAGTGTGCCCATTATACGGAGGTTGTCAAAATTGTATTACCGTTTCATTCGAGGTACAACCTTGAACCAGTAGTGGTTGGTTTTAAATTAACACTACACTTATCGATGGCATATTTATTTATTGTCTTCGGATTAACAACAGTACACTAATTGTATATAGAATCACAATACAGAAAATACAATTGAGTGAAACTAATTATTAACCACATGTTACAATGATAACAGTTAAAAAAAATAAGTATTGTCCAAACAATTGAATATAATTGAGAAAAAAAAAATAGAATATTGTCCAAACAATTATATTCAATTGTTCTAATTAGGGCACCAAGAGTGTGGGGGTGTGTGCTTGTGTGGAATGTGTGTGTAAAATGTTTGCCATCGTGGTGAAAGGATTAGCCAATCAGCGGACGGTACATACGTACAACATAAAATAGAGGAATGGTACATCGTGCGGGGAGGCTCTTTTCGTGCACCCCAGTTACGTAGTTAGATTGTTGTGATGTGCATAATATATTTTCGCCAAAATTGTAAATTACGTCGTTAAGGGACAGGTAATTTTCGTAATAAATTGTACATAGCATAATGAATTTTATGTCGATTGTGTAACGTACAAATTAGATACGGTACAGTAGCTGCGATAATTACCGAGACTGCACGATAATTCTTCGGAAGGAGCGCGACACTAAATAAAATTAGAGTTACGATTTTTTTCTTAAAAAATACTTTAAATCGCTTTCCTGTAATATTTTCAAAATCACGTTTTGCCTTTCCAGTGTCGATATAGTTTGTACGTAACTATAATTTCATTATGCTATGGTTACAAAAATCGCTTAAGGATAGAAAAAGTAAATTTTTATAAAGAATTTATATCATAAAAAGCGATCAATCGGGCTTTACAAAAGTTAGGAATACACATAACCCATCTATAAAACTGTTTTAAGGTAATCGTGGCAAAAGGATACGTTAACAAGTTTGTTGTAATATTAGAAAGTTTCTATACGAGCAATTAAGTGAACATATTTATGTATAAGCGTAAATTATTTATATACACAAATAAATATATTATTAAATGGTGTAACACGTTAAATTGTATTGAGATAATCATAAGTTTCTTGTAACTTTAGAAAGCTTTATGTATGTGACAATCAAGTGTGTCTTATTTATTCGATTTTATGCGTAAAATGTGTATTACAAATATATAGATAATACAGTGTGCAAATATTTGATGTCGTTATGTAGTTCCACGGACTATATGTTACTTACAAAAAATATATAAGTATGTCCTTTGTATATAATTTGTCTCTATCTAACGGGAAGATAATTATATACTCAGTGAACATTGTGATTAAAAGATACACATACAATCAGACAATTATTAATTTAAGTGTACAACGATCAACTTTTACATTTATTGTAAATGAAATAAGATCTATAATATTATTTATATTCTATAAAATGTGTTTAGGCAACTGTACGTAAATTGTTGTTTATAGATATATTTTAGAATGAATAAAATAAAACGCCGTATGAAAATGAATTATTTTTATTTCGTAAACCAATTTTTTCATATCAATGTTGAGTTTGTATACGGATTTCTCGAACACAAATATAAGAAACTTTTGAGATTGATTAAAATGAATTCGAGGTAGGTCCACATTGACCCATTGAAGACTATGGGTTAATAACCAGTGGCGGATTTGCAGTCTTGGCCGCCCTAGGCCCCAGTCCATGTAGTCAGTACCAGCGTCCGTTCAGTAGTTTTTGAGTTTATCGCGATCAGACACAGACATTATAGATATGTAACATATCTATATTTTATACATAAAATGTACGAAAATTATTTAGAAAGATTTTTATACGATGCGGTGCAGTGCGGCCCGCTATAATGAGCGTGAGCCTTTAAAATATTTAGGTACTTTCGAGTTATTCCTTGTTCACATCAGTGAATTTTTTGCCACTATTGACCGCCCTAGGCCCGTTTGTACTGGACCTTATGGGCAAATCCACCACTGCTAATAATAGTACCTTCTATTAGTTACCTAGCACCTTCCAGGTTCCGTAACACTTGCGAGTGTACCAGTCAAGTTATATAAATTTTTATAAAGTACTTAAACGCTATGTGAATGAACTACGGGACAATTTTGACAGTCCTGTACACTGTCGTCCGCTAACTAAAACGCAGCTAAGTGAGAAATGATCAAATAATCGTTTCAAATAGCAAAAAATAGAGCACAAAATTCTGTTTTAACAACAGTTAAAATTAGTTAACGTGTTCAACTTATAGGAACTTACCCTAACGATGCAAAGCTGAAATATCATTAAACAATTTCAATATTCTGAAAACGGGGTTATGGTGTTTATGGTATATATCTCCAGGAGTAAGGTCCACCGTATGTAAAAGACTGACAATTTACTTTTGGACCCTGAAATGTTTTTTATTTATGTTACCATGACGGGACGAACAAGTCGTGAGCCTGGTGTTAAGCGATACACTCGTCCATAGCAGTCGCAGTGCCACTCAGAGTTTTAAACCTTAAAGATCTGAGGGGCACTGCGTCTGTCACTCTGAGACATACGAGTAAGTTGACAAGTTCCATGTGCGTTTTGTGTCAATCCCTTTTAGATCAGGTGATCAAAGCGTCTGATTGTTTGACAAATACTACCGAGGATTAAGTTGTAACTTGTCAGCCCTTTAAATGGATTCATACAGGAGGTCAAACTTAATATATAATAGTAACCAATGTAATCTAATTTTAAATTACAAACAAACAGTCCAGCTGCAGTTGCCTAGTATGCGGGTGTATTGGGTTGATCAAAAACTCCATGCGGTAACTAAATATAGTATATGAGAGGCGGTGGGTCAAACCATTTGGCTACCACGTTGATTACTACTATTTTTAAATTAAATATTAAAATATTATTTTGAAAATTACAAACGAAAAAAAGGTATTTTTACATAGAGGTCAAAATCGCACGAACTTTTTGGCCAAACCAGTTACTTACGAAATAAACTTTTTTAGACTGCACGATACACACATTATTTTAGTGTCTTATCTTTAAGTCGAAAAAAAAAATGTTTTACTAAAATCCTCATTGACTTACAATTATATGGACGTCGGGTCCGCGCTAAAAAGTATCCGAACTTATAGGGTGTTAAAATCGTATACAGAGCGTCATTCACGCTTTAGCCTTTGTTTGTTCGACTGACAGCGAAGCAAGCAAAATTAGACAGTACTGCGATGACATTACAATTTAAATTCAACGTTTTAGCTTTTTCATATTCCTTTACATGTCACTACGTTTAAATAGGTTGACTTGGGACATTTTTTTCGTGGTTTTTGTATTAGACCCGTTGTCATTTATTTGTAAGTCAATGAAAATCCTTTACAAAAGAAAGGGTGAACGTAGTAAAGGTCAAACTACAATGTTTAAACAACGAGTGTATAGTATCTGGTCCGTCCCAAAAGTATCGAACATTTTTCAGGAAAAATACTTTTATTGAACTTATCGGTACCATACATTAGTACTCTTCAAAATAACACCCTTCAGCATCGATGCACTTTTGTAGGTGAGTTTTCCATGCCCGGAAGGCCCCCTGGAAGACGTCAACGGGTAGGTCCTTCAGCGCCCTCGTCGTAGCTTCTTGGATGTCCTTAATTGTGCCCCAATGCTTGCCTTTGAGCTTCGACTTGATGCTGGGAAACAAGAAGAAGTCTGCCGGGGCGACGTCAGGACTGTAGGGAGGCTGCGGGACCAGCGGGCTTCGTCGGTCACCTCTTCCCTTCCGTCACGGAACATCTTGTGCCACTTCCTGACCGAGGATTCGGACAAGGCTTTGTCCTTGAAGGCCTGTTTAATCATCTCGTTGGTTTCCACAGTATTTTTGCCGAGTAGAACACAAAATTTCACTGCGTACCTCTGTTCTAACGGATCCGTCATCGCGCTACTTTTAAAAACTTCGACGAGGTGTCATTTAGAGCTCTACGCGAACGCACGTCCTGCCGCTCCAGGTGCTCGGAGCCAACTGGGACCGGTCGCGCTGTATCGGCTAGATCCCCCCACCACTTTCTGTTGCCAAGCGGAGCGCTTCCCGCCGTTCGGCAACACTCCCAAAAAAAATGTTCGATACTTTTGGGACGGACCCTGTATATCTTATTAATTTTTATACCTATGTTTATGTAAAAAGGAAGTTTTATAGAACAACAAAGCATAAATAGATGGATTGATTAAACTTTGGAAAAAATTAACCCTAACTACATCAGTAACTGTCAATAAAATTGGCCTTTCTCCGAATTATATATATATATATAAAATTATTTTACCTAAAACTTAGATACCAGATCCATCATCAGATTACTAAATTCGAGCACAAAATGCAACATTTGTTTGGTTCAGAACAAGCGAGAAGTAAATAAAGATCTCATTCAACACATTAACATGAAAAGAAACTATGAATTCGCATGTGGAAAGAACTTTGAAATCATCGCTTACATTATCATTTACATAATATCTGAGTTACACAGTAATACCTTATTCTTTTAGAAGCAATTAACAAATATTAAAAAATACCTTATTGGAGACGCCACCATTAAAGGGAGCTAGCCTATGTGTATTTACTTGTGGAAAAATTTTTGGAATTTTTACTTGTACTGTAAATGTCTCCAAATTAGTAATACTTATTATTTTAAAAACTATGTTTTTATTTTGGTTTCCGGCCTCTGCCACCACCTGTTTTTGCCTTTTTGTTGGCTGCCTTGTTTTTTTCTTCCTCAGCTTTTCGTTTGGGATTAGGAGTTGTTGTTACCTGGAGAAAAAAAATAAAGGAGTCACCAGACTTATTAATGCCGAATCGGCTTAAGTCGGTCAGAAAAATAATGAAGTCCATGTAAAAGCGAAAGAAATATTGCGCGTATAAAGAGCTTTTAAACGAAACGGTATTAACCCCATTTCTGCCAAAACCGTAGGCGGAAACCATTAAGTGTGAAACACACCGAAAGCGGGTGCGGATCAGGCGCAGGTCGGGTCTAATTCCGTGTATTTATGTATATCATCGAGTTTATAGCCAGAAATAGAGACGAAATGTCATGTGCGCTCCGATTGACCAGCCCGAATTCGAAACAATTGACAGGGGTTGTCAATTGTTTCACTTCATATTGTCCAGTTTAACTTGAGCTTTGCTATAATGGATGGATTCCGTTTTGTAATTAGATGTTTTGCTATTTTTTCTACACCATCGAATGACCTCATTGTTAGAGATATTATCTTTATTACAACAAATACAGAATATTTTTGGAATGTTAATATTAATTAATAAAAATTAGAACTTATTTCGTTTCTATTTCTGGTTATATAGTCGATGATTTATATGGACGACAACACGCAATTAGACCCGCAATTATAATTCCACACATATAAAAAATATTTTTTTAGACGAAAAAGAGGCAACTCCAAACAACACCCACCTTACAATCCTGACTCTCACTTACTACTAGGGATGCAATACGATTAAATTTTTATGAAAATCGATTTTTTTTAGTTACCATTCAAAATCGGAAGGTGGCAGAAATAGGCATGGTGGCAGTACTTCCCTGGACGAGCTCTTTCAGAGAGTCATTACACAACTACGTTATTATTTATACGGGGTATATTGTTACCTAACTGGTAATAAAAAAAGCGTAAAATACCTTGAAGAATCCATCAAGACGACCCTGTGTGGTACCACTTCTAGCTTTCAGTAGCTTTTTAGCTCCATTGCGCACGCGTTCCTCGTTGAACTGCTTATCTCCACATAGGAATTTCACTAAGCCTTCTTCGTCGGGATCAGACCATTTCAACTGTAGAATATATCGCACACCTAGATCTAAACAGGCATTAACTCAAAAAAACGCTTTTTTCAGAAAATGACAAAAACTGGTTACTGTGCCTGTATGCAAGGTAGAGAATGTTTATAAAAACGTTTCAATTTAACATTATATTTAAAGGGTATGTATTATGAGAGATACTTGTTTAAATAATTTTAATAAGCTGATAATTCGGTTTTTTAAGTTAGATCCCTATAGCTTCACAATGTGTGTATATTTTTTATTTTATTTTGAGTTGACCCTGCGTTGATGAATCAAGTTTTGATTTGACTCTCTTTCAAAGAGGGAAAATTAATTCTAGGCTAGATCCCTTTTTGTGTTAATTATAATTGTTCCAAATACTCGGATGACCTTTGACCACCAATAAGGGTTCATCATCATTTCAGCCGTATAACTCCCACCGCTGGTCCAAAGAGTGGGCCTAAGCCTATATCACTATCCTAGACCGACAAGTATACCGTATTAAACTTCTAAAAAACAATTTTAACTGCACTTTTAAAATCACATGTCACTTATATCTAAGTAATACAAACTTAACACAACACAAAATAACATTAAGCTTGTAAAACACAATTTTATATGCACTTTTAAAATCACATTTCACTTATATCTAAGTAATACAATTAACAAAGAAAATTCAAGCTTACATAATCTTTGTAGTAGATATTGGCACTTTGAGATCAATGTTACAAAAATTACAATTACCTACTGACTTACTTAGGATCATTGGTCAATTTTTAAGTTTAATATTACTTGTTATTAATATAAATCTATTAATTATTATTACCGCCCAAAACGCCTTTATAATAAATATCAAAATATGATTTTGGAATACTGTTCTTATCAATCAATTCTTGTATGTGTTGTCTTTTTGCAGCTGACAGTGGGATTTTCTCAGTGTATGCTGGTAATAAGCCAATTGAAAAAAATGATTGATCTGCGGCTTTTCTGTTTGCTCGGAGAACTCTTTTTTGCACACAAACTTTCCTATAAGTTTCATCAGAAAATGATGTTTTGAAGAAGAACGCTTCAGGGTGTTCTTTTTCCACTCTGAGAACCTTAATGTCCTGCCACTTGATTTGATTTTTCTCCTCATCTATATTGAAATTAGTACCCCACGATTCTTGTAGTGCCTTGACGTCATAAAATTTGTTATGGGTCATTTCTTTGACTTTGTAAGGCTTACCTGTTTTTTTGGCAGTGCCAATCAAAGTTTTATACTGTTCAGGTATGTAGATTGGGCCAGACTGCGAATACCTTTTTATCTGTTTCTCAATAACACTATGAACATTGTCGCCTTCATTTTGAGAATGGCCGCGTATTAAAAACTTGTGAGTTATAGACTTAACTGTCAATTTGTTGACAGCGTAGGCATAAGCAGATAACAAAAACTTATTTTTTTGTTGTCCCCCACAATTGTCCGAGTAAAAAATTAAGTCAATTTCTTTGTTGGGATTTAAGTCTATCTGAGATTGAATATAGTCTAGTATACAACTACCAATTTCCACAGCTCCTCTTTTTCCTTCCGTCTCGTCCCAAAAATAGCATACAACATCTTTTGCCTTTAAATCACTAATAGTAAAATTGAGGCAGTTGATTCTGAATTTGTAAAAGAATAACGATATTTGTCCTTTTGGAATCTGCAATACGGCCTGTAAGTCATAAACTGCGGTGATGGTGCCGTCTGTCTTATTCTTGTCGTTTTCTTTTTCAGTTCTTGCCAGTGTTTTTTCTTTAAGGTGCTGCTCATACTCTTGACTAAGATTGGGCTTTTGCTCTTCATCGGAGTTCTTGTATCTTTCGCACAAATCACATAAATCTTTTTTCGGTATGAAAAAAGAAATGTTGAATTCGGTATTGAAAATTCTGTTAAATGTGGAGGAAGAGGCAACAGGTAAGTCATCCCTTTCTGGCATAATTTTATAATCTCTGTAGATATCAGCCAACGATTTCTCACTAGAAATGAATTCTCTAGTAGTTTGAGCCCTTAAGTAGTGAGATTCAATCCTTGGAATCGAATTAATAAAGTCTATAACGCTCTGTCTTATTTGTGGGTCAATCGTTGGATGATTGTCGTGTTTTCCTCTCAAATCGGCTTGAATAACTCCTATTTCCGTTTTCTTAGAAAGTGCTGTTGTAATAGCTTTATAGCTTACATCAAGAGTGGATTTGAAAAATGGCTTGCATACTCTCGTTTTGGTTAATAAAATGCGGTGTTAAGAGCCCTAAAATTTTGTGTACTTGAGTACCGATATTTAGGCTTTATTTGTTGCGAGTGTCGCACTATAAATTCTCTCTGCCTTTCCAGATTGCCGAGTCCCCAAAACACATCAAAGAACTGTTGCCTTGAAGTTTCATCTATTTTGTTTTTACATTTTAGCCGACAATTGTCTCCACATGGTAATCCGACTTTTTTTTCTGGGACTTGTTTTTTTGACTTAGCCATTGACTGGTAGGCTTTTCCAGAATTTCTTAACAGTTTAGCGACTTTTGATCGCCATTTCTCAGGTTTGCGTGTTCTTTTTTTACAATTTTTTTTTTTCGGGGACTGTGGAATTATTTTCAGGAACCATAACATTTTGAGGGTCATTCTCGGCATCTGAAGAACTATTTGATGTCGATGAACATGAGCTGCTACTACTGGACGAATTCGATGATGTAGACGAAGATGAAGTAGAACGATGAGGTGCTACAACGTTGGATGGTATGTTACTTTTATGAACTAGCTGAAAATTAGGATCATCGTCGGAGTCGTCTATATCACTTTCATCGCTTCGAATTGGTGAGATGTAATAGTTATTGGCAGATATTCGTTGCTTAGACGTGCACGGAATGGGCTCTTCAACTACAGATAATGCAGCTTGAGTATCTTCAGATGAAATGACGACAGATGACTTCTCTAACGTGTCTCCTTGTGTTTTAGACGGCGTAGGGATGTTAGGCATGGCATTTATTTCTTTGTCTTTTTCTTGTATAATATTAACTAAATACCGTCCACGCTTCATTATTTAACTGAAATAGAAAATATATCTGTTACAAAAAAGCTTTCAACACAATTTTCGTCGATTTCATTGCCGATTTAAAGTGAAATTTAGCGTAACCCATCTAAAGAGAGCTAACTTAAAAAAAAGGCAATATTTTCTGATCTAACTTTGTAAATGTTAAAATGATAGCAAAATTATCTTAAAAATTACAAGCTTCTAATTGCCAATCGCAAAAAAGTTTAAAGTTTTTTGATTTTCAAACAAATATGAGCGTTACAAAAATAATTCAAGAAAAGAGACTCAATTAGAAAACTAAAAATGTTCCATCTAAACAGGTAGCAATTCTGAATAAATAAATAAAAGATACTCACCCTACCAGCAATACAGGCCTAATTCAAAATGTTCACAGAAATTACACAGTAGTAGCGTAGCAACAACTACCAAAATAGCAAGAACTCAAAATAAAATTGCTTAACAAGTCATAAAAAGGGGGGCAATTCAAAATAACTCTGATCTGTTGACACCGAGCGCGTGCGTGTCACTCCTAATGTCGGTGGCAACTAACGACGTCCCTGTTTTGGTGGGGGCGGGAGCGGCTCGTTCTTTAAACAAAAGTGGCATACAGCACCATCTTACGGCGAATAGACGAGCCATTTTTGTATCTGTTTTATCGGTCGGTAGATCTCAAAATATGAAATGCTATGGTGAGCATAACTCAATTATCGCGATTTTTGAATTAACCCCCTTTAGATCTAGGTGTGCGATATAACAGTATTATTATAGCTCTATGCGGTAACAAAAGAAAGCGTTGGCGTAAATAACTGCTCCGACGCAAAACGCAGGAACGTGGTAGTGGCAGGGGTGGTGGTACCTTATTACCAAATAAAGATGTAAGAAGTGACAGACAGTACAAAATAATTTTTTTTATAATATCAAGTGACGGGACGAACAAGTCGTGAGCCTGAGGGTAAGCTACACGCCTGTCCATAACAGTTGCAGTGCCACTCAGAGCTTTAAATCGCAAAGATCTGTGGCGCACTGCCATTGCGCCCGCCACTTTGAGACTTAAGTTGATACTCGTCGTGCGTTAGTCGTTAAGGCAAAACCTCTGTCAATTTGCTCCTCTTGTTTTTAATTCTGAATCGTGAAATTTATTTTCGGCCCCGTATAATATTTACATCATCCGAAAGTTTGGAATCTATCTAAAGTTTTTGTAAAATAATATCTTCAAAAAGCGCAAAATTAGTAAAGCTACAACCATTTATTTTTTCTAAAATCAAATCTCGACCGTTGGATTAGCCTTATTCAACAACCAGTTCTATCGCTGCGGCCTTGTCGTGACTCATTTGTCACCAGAGTGCATCGACCCCGAGCGAACACAGCGATCAACGAGACAGCGCGGCGTCATTACCGTCATTGTTACCTGAGTGAGTTATAATATCTGCTCTGTTCTTTGCAATGCCTTCGATTATTTGTGCTGGCTGTTTAAGTTCTATTGAAAGCCGACAGTATTTACGTTGTCTTGTATGCACAGATACATATGATCTACAGTGCGCAAACGTCTCTGAAAAAAGGTTTTATAATACTATGACATCGGACCATAAAAGTGCATGGAAATGCCAGAGATGTGTATGCAGGCAACCGAAAGGTGATAACACTAACACACCCGTGCGTGGAACGGTGGCTGAGAGCAACGATAATATGACGGCAAATGACTCAATTAATAATTCTAACTTTGATGCCTGCTCGAACCAGTGTGGATTAACAGCCTGTGATAATGTTACACTCCGTCGGCATCAAACCAGTAGGAGCAACTCAATTGCCTTATCATGCAACATTGAGGATGATAACATCTGCATGACTAGTATAAGAAATACAATTCGAGAGGAGCTGCAACAAGCGCTGAGCGAGCGCCTGTCTAACTTAATTAGCAAAGCTGTCGAAAACCACTTTGCTTCAATATCAAACAAATTTACTCAACTTGAGAAA